CCTCATCCCCCCTCACCTCGTCTAATCAAGTGAGCAACAGCAGTAGCAACAACGGCAGCAACGCCTCCGCCACCACCACTGCCATCAACAACACAGCAGCAGCAGCAACAACCCCCCTTTCCCAGCAATCCCATCAGTGTCAGGAGCTCTTTTGATGTGCCCTAACTCTCTTGATACCTTCACCCCTTCTAATCGACGCTGAACTTGCCGCACATGTGTACGGCCTACTCTCCTCCCCCTCACTGACTTTGTAATCTTGGTATGTTCTTTTTGAGACGACTAAAAAGCTTGGTAGCAAGCTTGCATGTTTTCTCTCTTCCCCCTCCCACATACTTCGTAACCTTCTCTTCTCTTCCCTCCTCCCATCTCCCCCTCCTCTTATTCAGTTCCTTCGCTCTTCCGACGTCTCTTTGCTCCTCTCCTTCTTCGCATTCTTTCCCTGCTGCTTCTGTCAATGCGGGTGCGGGTGCTGAAGCATGAGCAGTGGTGTTTGTCTCCGTGAGCCGCGCCTCAACATGCCACAATTTGTGTGTTGTGTTGTCTTGCCTTGATGATGTTTCGCCATCAACATTTTCAACTGTCTTGCCAGGCAAAACAAACTTTCGTGCATTGTTACAGATAACTGGTCTTGGCGGACACACTTGTGTTACAGATAAATCGATCAATTTGTTTCAGTGGAATACATCGGAATCACGGACACTAGACGCCAGGAGTAAAGAGATTGTTAAATAGCGGGTGAGTGTGCCCATTACCCCCAAGCAGGGCTTCGTTTTGGATTTGGCTAACTCACGATTGGCAGTGTAGCTTTTTTAAAAACCCTTCTGAGCAGTGTGAACTTTTTCATTACACAGCCAGAGCAGTGTAACATATCCGTTTTAAAATTTTACCCTGCAACTCCAGTGTGAGATTTTTCCGCACACTGCCACTAATATATACTTATTAGATTTAAATCAACTCACATACTTGACAATTTATTTATAATCATTCAATTACTTGCATACTCATCCTCGCTATCAGACTCTAAAACTGCCTTGCCGTTTCCTGCGAAGTGCTTGTGTGGGACGGGTGTTTTCGCGGGTCTTCTCTTCTTTTGCTTCCGCCAGATCTCCACCACCTCCGGCCATTTGTACTCGTAGTTCAACATGTTGAGAGTCATTAGCTCGGACAAACGGGCGTCTCCAAGCGACGTGCGCATCCAGCTCTTGATGACGTTTTGCCGGCTGAATCCACGCTCGCACTCCACGGTGCTTAGCGGGATCACCGCGAGCGCCTGCCACATGGACACCAAGTTGGGGAAGCTGCGAGGCCAGTCCTTGGTCTTCATCATCTTGGCGAGCCCCTGGTAGAAGTCGTCATCCTCGTAGTGGCGCGACATGACGTGGCAGAAGCTACTCAGTTCAAGCTCCGCCACGCGGTGGTTGAAGGCTGCCACGTAAACAATCATAACAATCATTTTCTTCTTTAGCATTTACCACCAAGACAACCAAGCAACATCGCATCCAACTACGAGTGACTGCAACGTCAGCAAAACCCACCTGGGAGCCTGTTCATGAAGACACACGCGTTGGCATCCAGCCACTGCACCACCCGTCGTTCCCGTTTATCTGTCGCATCTGGCCACGTCTCCACCTTGTACAGCTTGCTGCCCTCCAACTCCTTCAGGCTGTGCATGCGGGTGTGCAGATTTGTCGCCACCTCAAGCGCAAACGCCTTGCACAACTTGATGCAGTCGGCCATTGATCCGCCATACTTGTGCCCTTTCAGCGGCTCCTCGCTCAGCTCGAACTCATGCGATGTTGGCTCGCCCTCCGCATCGACGCCGTCCACTTTGATCTTTCGTTTGCCGTTTGCCATCCGTGCGATAAATGGCGACAGCAGCTTGCTGACTCCCCCTCCGAAAGTTTTGTCGTACTCCACGTAGCGCAGCCTGATGCTGCAAATCGTGCGGTCCACCTCCTGGTGCACGATCGTGATGTCAACCTGAGATGGAGGCGGGATCAACAATAGCAAGACTTCGTTAAGAAATTACTCGATTGGTGCTGTTTTAAAATACAATATAGCAATCTAGAACGCATCACTTACTTTCCGTCTTTGGAAAAACCGGTTCAGGGCGTTGATCTCCGCAAGAAGATCCGCCAAAAAGTAGACGCAGAAGTGAAACTTCAGCGACTTCAGCGTGGCGGCCATCTTGTGCTTGTACTCGATGAAAACCACAATCGCTGCCCCAAGGACCCTGCAGAACCGCTGCACAGCATCTCCACGCGACAGCCATCTCACGTCGAAGAGCCCCTGGTGCTCCAGGCTGGTCTTGTGGATTTCTTGCTGCAGCTCCTTGAAACGTTCGTGCCAGACGGAGGACTTCGTGACGATATCTCCCAGCCCACGGATTGCAGCGTCGACGATATCAAGGTCCTTGTACTTGAGCGCCGACTCCTTCACCGCTAGAACTTCTCTGCACAGGTAAACACATATTGTTTAGAACAGTACTTGTATGCGGGTATAAACCCAAGTCAACGAATTTGAACACCATACCTGTGAGCGATGCAATGCGTGCCGACCAGATGAGGAATGCGCTGACGGAGACGCACCACAAGCCCCCGCTCGGTGCCTACCATCACACCCGCGCCGTCGGTGCTGATGGCAACGATCCTCTGCAGATCCAGACCGACAGTCTCTAGGTGGCTTAGTAAGACGATGAAAATTGATGCCGCGTCACACTTCTGGACGGTTAGGAGCGCCAGAAACTCGGTTGCAACCTGTCGGTCCTTCAAGAAGGTCACAAACACCACGAGATGCTTCCCGCGAGCTCTGTCGGTGCTTTCATCACAACTGAGGCCGATCCAAGGCGACGCGTGGATGTACATCATCTGTTGCTGCTGCTGGTAGGTGCACATAGCCTTCACCATCTCCTTGAAACCGTACCTGCAAGATGCGCAACCAAAAATTAGCCTCCGTAGCGTGCACAGAAAAATATCACCCAAGAATAAAAAAAGGTACTCACTCCGTAATGTAAACTCCGTAGCCCTGTCGAGGGATGTCAGACACACCCTCCCAGGCCAGAAACTCCCCAATCCGCGGGAACATAGCGATGGGTGCGTCTTCGTTGCACACAAATTGAATGCTCCGCATGAGCCTGATCACCCGCGCGCCCTCCACGTCCGCTCTCTCATAGTCGTCAATTTTCTTCTGCGCCGCCAACTTGTCGAGGAGCCCCTTTTGACGGTTGATGCACTCCTCATGGCGAGTGCTTGCTTGGTGTGCGCGCATCGACGCTGGCTGCAAGTCGCGGCCACCGCTTCCATTCCTCCCGTATCGTGCGTTGTCTGGGCCGTGTTCAATGCACACACTGCAACGCAAGCAAGGCATGCCGTCATCAGCCTTGTCGAGCAACAGCCAGTCAAACATCGGGAGCCATTTCGTAATGTAGCTTCTGTTGGCTTCCTGGAACTTTGCTTCAGCGCGTTCAGCAGCAGTCAGCTTGAGAGGTGATGGCGCTGGAGTGACCGCGGGAGGTGGCGGAGGAGGAGGTTTCACAAGCGGCGTGCCGGCGTCGAACCCAATCGTTGTCTGCGTGTAGCGGCGACGTTTCAGCGCTGCCGAATTAGAAGACTCCGGGGCTTTGGTGACGATGTCCGTCGTCTCAACGTCACCGTGAACGTCGAGGTCCGCCTCATTGCTTGTGGGACGCTGCGTCTCAGCGTCGTCTGAAGCTAGCTCCTGCTCAGGCGGGGGTGACCGTGACACAGCTTTGCGCACAGGAAATTGCCAGCCCTCACTGTCATCCGAGGGCTCAGGCAAAGTGTGAGGTGCAGATTCGGTTACATGGCCTCGCAAAAACTCGAGACCAGTCCTTGGCCTATAGCTACAAGAGGGGTCGCCATCATCGGCATTGGCAGCGTCTCCAGGCGCAGCCATGGCTACCAGGTGGTGGTCGCTCAGCTGCTACATTGAGTGGTTCAAACAGGAGCGACTTTGGGGTGGTGGTGGAATGACGGTGTCACACGATACTGCTAGCTGTGCTTGCCGAACCCACACGGCAAAGCTTCGGGACAGAAACTCACAGAGCGCCACGGTTGGGGACCGTGGTTTGCATCTCCAAGCACCGACAATCTGAATGTGGTCCCACTCCCAGGACTTAGTTCAGGCAGCAATACTGTAGTTGCTGCCAATGTGGGATTGCGTGTCGTGCTGGCAAGGGAATTATTCCTAACTGACCAATCGGACACATGACAGCGGCCAACGCAAGTACGGGGGGGGGGGGGGGGAGGGGAAGGGGTGCTCTGTACGCACTTCAGTGTAATCTACGATAAGTAAAAAATTACCCCAAGCCATCAGTGTGGCCTAGAACGATACACTTACAGATCAGTGTAACACTAACTCATAAAAAAATTACCCCAGCACATCAGTGTAGACCCAAAATTTCACCCTTGTAATCAGTGTAGAAGGGTAAATTACACTGCAAACCTGAGCCCTGCCCCCAAGGCTCTGCATCCTAGGATCAATATGACATCCCCAGTGCAGGTCTTCTAACAAAACATAGGTAGGTGGTGGATCAAGATGCCTTGGAATGAAAGAATGATGCTACACCCGTATGGAGGGGTGGTATACTCTAGATATTACGGTAGGTGCTAGATGCTAGAGTACTCTATCTATTCTAGATTGTAGATGGTAATTGGTATATGGAAATGGTGAATGGAAAATGGAAAATGGTAGATGGCAGGTAATTGGTATCATGGTATGATATGTACATGGCATGCCAGCCAGTGTGGTGGTCTTAGAAACGGTGATAATGCCATGCCCCGCCATGCCATGCCGTGCCATGCCCTGCCCTGACATGCCATGCCCTACCATGCACTACCATACCGTGCCATGCCATGCCCTGCCCTGCCCTGTCAGGCCATGCCATGCCCTGCCATCCCATGCCATGCGCTGCACTGACTGCCATGCCATGCCATACCATTCCATGCCATGCCATGCCATGCCATATCTATATAACTACTTCATCCAAGTGCTGCCTCAGCACTCTCAGAGCCTCAAAATTCCGAGGATCGAGGAGAACAGGAGAGGCTGAGAGGCCAGCAATCACTGTGTACAGCTGGTGATGTAGCAGCAGCAGCAGCTGCGGCAGAAGCAGCAGGAGCAAAAGTCTCAGCAGCAGCATGAACAGCAGTTTCAGCAGCAGCAGGAGCTGCAGTTTCAACAGCAGTGGTTGCTGCGGCTGCTAGGTTTGCTGGGACTGAAGGAGCGACATGGGCAGCAGAGGTGTTAGGTGGAGCGAGAGAGACGAAGGGAATGGGAGAGAAGTGAGCGGTGGGAGTATGAGCAGGGAAATGGGAGGGAGGATTAACAGTAGTGCCATGTCCTATCACACAATCAGCAGAGGCAGGAGCAGGGGCAGGAGCAGGAGCAGGAGCAGGAGCAGGAGCAGGAGCAGGAGCAGGAGCAGGAGCAGGAGCAGGAGCAGCAGCAGCAGAGGCAGCAAGTAGAGAAGAGACAGGAGCAGCAACAGCGCCAGCACCACTGCAACTGCTAGCCCTGGCAATCTTCGATTCAGTCAAGCTGGGGCTGCTTGGAGTGTGCATGAGAATACCCGGTTTTATGTCGGGCGATTGGAGGTAGTGGTCTGTGTGGTGAGGGGGACAGGAGGGTGTAAGATGATGCGAGGAACAAGGAGAAAGCTGGGAGGGAGAGAAAGGGTGAGGCGGAGGGAAAGGAGAGGGAGGTGGCATGTGCAGTGGAGTGGGGAAGTTTTGAGGCGACTTGAGGGTTGGCTCAGGGAAAGGGTGAGGTGGCGGGGGGAATGAAGGAGGTGGGCAGTGGGGCGGGGCTGGAAAATATGCTGCCAGGGGTGGTGGGTGAGTGGGAGGAGCAGCAGCGGCAGCAGAAGCAGTGGCAAACGCAGCAGATGCAGGAGGGGGGGGAGGAGCAGGAGGAGCAGGAAAGCCAAGAGGGGAGAGGGGAGGATGAGATGGAGGGCAGGCAGCAACAGCAGCAGCAGCGGCAGCAGCCGAAGCGGCAGCAGCCGAAGCAGCTGCAGCAGAAGCAGCGGCGGCAGCGGCAGCATGGGGAGGGGTGCAGGGGGGAGCGAGGCTGCTGCGTCTCTCCTTGCGCCACTGCGCAAGTGTCTTGCCTTCCACAAATATCGTCGTTCCAGGGTTGCGGTCCTCTCTTCCTGCGTGCTGGGAGTGCCACAAGACAGAGGGAGAGAGAGAGATAGAGAGGAGAAGAGGCATGCAAAGCAATGTGTATTGACCAGCTGGTAGTGACGGGCAGAAACAGATGATGGCACTTTAACTTGTGTTAGCTGCACGGAGGAACATACGGCAGCATCCGCTGTTGTTACTGTGTCATGATTGGTAGCAGCATGCATAAACGCCAGCACAAGCAGCAGCATCAGCACCAACACCAGCAGCATCTGCAGCATCAGCACCAACACCAGCAGCATCTGCAGCATCAGCATCAGCACCAACACCAGCAGCCTTTACCTTGCCACATCACCATCTGGGAACAACAGCACGATTGAATCACTTTTGAGAACAGCCGTTTCACAAAAAGTGATACACGCACCGTGAAAAACAGCATGCATGCACGAATTTAGTCGCCCATTTCCTTACTTGGCAATACCCCCTCCTCCCCCCCCCTAGTCTCCCTGCATCCCGCTCTATCCATTGCAACCACTTTCAACCGCACTGAACCCCAGGATGTACCTGTGTGAAGCGAGTGAGAGACATCTGAGAGGCGTGGCAGTCACAGCGAATCACCAGGCGGCCGCCTTCCGTCTCCTGCAACTCCCCCTCTGCATGCAAGCACAGGGGTTGGGTTGGGTTTGGTTGGGTTGGGTTGGGTTGGGTTGGGTTGGGTTGGTGGAGGAAGGGGGAGGAGGTGAGGTGGGGAGGTAAAATTAAAGTGGTCTCAGAAGTCTCAAGGCGGCCAGCCTCCGTCTCTTGAAGCTACACCTCTGCGTGCAGGCAATGGGGTTGGGAAAGGAAGGGAGGGAGGGAGGGAGGGGAGGTGGGAATGTGATTTTCGAGTGGAGGTACTAAAAAGTCACTAGGTGAAGCGGGTCCAAGAGAAGAGGGATGTTTGGCAGGGGGTTGGTTTAGAATGGGGTTGAAGAGAAGGTGGTTGAATACAAGTGGTTGCACGAGCTGAGTTGATAATGATTCAAAAGCTGCTCAGCAACGCACCAATCTGTTTTCCAGCGTACCTCGGGCACGTGACTTGCACACCAGACGGAGCGATGGGAGTTGAAGAGAGGAGGGATGAAGAGAAGGGAGTTGAAGAGAGGAGGGATGAAGAGAAGGGAGTTGAAGAGAGGAGGGATGAAGAGAAGGGAGTTGAAGAGAGGAGGGATGAAGAGAAGGGAGTTGAAGAGAGGAGGGATGAAGAGAAGGGAGTTGAAGAGAGGAGGGATGAAGAGAAGGGATTTGAAGAGAGGAGGGATGAAGAGAAGGGAGTTGAAGAGAGGAGGGATGAAGAGAAGGGAGTTGAAGAGAGGAGGGATGAAGAGAAGGGAGTTGAAGAGAGGAGGGATGAAGAGAAGGGAGTTGAAGAGAGGAGGGATGAAGAGAAGGGAGTTGAAGAGAGGAGGGATGAAGAGAAGGGAGTTGAAGAGAGGAGGGATGAAGAGAAGGGAGTTGAAGAGAGGAGGGATGAAGTGAAGGGAGTTGAAGAGAGGAGGGATGAAGAGAAGGGAGTTGAAGAGAGGAGGGATGAAGAGGGTTACCAGTCTGCTCTCCAGCGTAGCTCGAGCACGTGACCCGCACACGAGACGGAGCGGCCACATGCACTGCTGATGCCAGAGTGGTGGTTCCATGTGCCGCCAAACTCCCACCAGCAGCACCAGGTCCCACCGCACTCGCACCACCACCAGCCCCATACATGAATGAATTGCACCCGCCATGCGCCACCCAGCCACCACCGCTGACAGCAGCAGCAGCAGCAGCCGCTGCAGCAGCAGAAGTGGCAGCAGTAGCTGTTACAGCAGCAGCAGAGGCTGCATCAGCAGGAGCAGCAGCAGCACCACCAACAGCACGTGTAACTCTCAACACGGCTCCTCCCAACGAATCTTCTCCTTCTATGCCCCCACTCCTTATGATTCCTCCCACCAAACCCACACTCCCCAACCTTTCGCCTGTTCCGCTCCCTCGTCCTCTTCCCGGGGAGGCTGTACTTGGGTAAGGTGGACATTGCAACCAGTTGAAGCTCCTCCTTTCTCCTCTCTCCTCTCCTCCTCCCTCCCTGCCACGCTCCCTTCCGCTCTCCACTCCTCCATCTGCTCCTCTCTCCAACGGCACTATCCCTTCCCCCCTGGCGGCACCTGGTCTTGCTGAACATGCGTGGGTAGCGGGAGGGTTCTGATGCTCTCCCTTTCCCTGTCCTGTGGTACCTTTATGGGTAGCGGGAAGGTTTCGTGAGTCTCCCTTCCCTTCCCCTGTTGTATCGGCACAAATAGCGGGAGGGAGAGGAGATGCCATAGACAGCAGTGCTCTGGGAGTCACGGATCTGGTAGGAGAGCATAGGGAATCTACCTTCCCGTCTCCTGTGGTATCGGTATGGGTAGTGGGAGGGAGAGGAGATGTCATAGACATAAGTGCTCTGGGAGGCACGCATCTGGTAGGAGAAGGAGAGCATAGGGAGGAGGTGGATGGAAGACCTCCACAGCCCGCCTGTGCGCTACCAGCTGCTCTGGGAGGCACAGGTCTGGTGGGGGAGCTTAGGGAGGAGGTGGAAGGAAGGACGAGCAACGGTGTGGTCACACGAGTTGGAGCGAGTAATGGTGGTGGTGGTGCTGCTGGTGCTGGTGGTGCTGCTGCTGCTGGTGCTATTGCTGGTGTTGCTGCTAGCTGTGATTGTGACAGTGGCAGTGGCAGTGGCAGTGGCAGTGGCTGTGGCTGTGATTGCAGTTGTGCATAAGCTGATGCAGCTTCTGCCGCTGCTGCTACCGCCGCCGCTGCGTCGGCAGTTTGTGGCGCTGCCGCTTGCATCGTCGACTCAATCGTATTCTGAGGCACCTCAGAGCCAACCTTGTCTCTGTCTTTGAATCGCCCCGAGAAAGCAGATGAAGAGAGGGAGATTGGGGAGGAGACTGAGCGACTGAGGGACAGAGATAGAGCCACGGGGGACGTGCTTCTTGATCGCATGGGCACGGGCATGGACCTTGAAAAAGGCTTCTGAGTCGACTCAAACCCCATGGGCTCAAGAAATCCCATGGGAGAAGGAAGAGACCCACTGGAACCTGCGTTTCGTGCGTCTATCGCCATGCCTGGTGCGGGTTTTTGCTTCGCAGGAGCGTCTGAGACTTGCACGCCTTCCCTTGGTTTCTGGGTGTGAGGCACTCCAGTAACCATGTGCGTTCCAGTTCCCACCCCAGAGGGCTTGTGAGGAGCCTCAGAGAGCATGGCTTCAGTGCCGACCTTTCTCTCCTTCTCCATCCCCTTCTCGCTCTCCCTCTCCCTCTCCCTGTCCCTTTCCCTCTCGCTTGGAGCGGACTCAACAACGCACTGCCTCGCGTCTTCCTGAGGGCTTTCCAGTACATGGGCGTTAGCTGCTGCATGTGCCGTGTTGCTTGGCTCCGCCAAAGCCTCGGCCAAGGGCTCTGGCAAAGTATCGGCCAAAGTCTCAGCCAAGGGCTCGACTAAGGTGATTGAGTCTGCTCCTTGCACCTTCACAGGGGAAGGAAATGACAACCAGTGGTCTGAACCACTGCATACTACCTTTCCTCGTATCTCCCCCCTCCCCCCTCCTCCTCCTCCTCCTCCTCCTCCTCCTCCTCCTCCTCCTCCTCCTCCTCCCTCCAGCAGCGCTTCTAGCTGTGTCTCCTTCCCTCCCCTTTCTCCCTCCCTTAACTCCCTGTCACACCCGCTACCATCCCTCCTCTCCTCCTGCTGCGGCTGCTGTGATACATTCTGCGCGCTACCCTTCTCGCCCTCTTGCTCTTCCCTTCCCACACACCCATCCGGTGCAGCTAACTTTCCCCCTCCTCTTTCTCCGTCTTCCCCCTTGCCTGCCTCCCCCCCTGCCTCCCCGCCTGCCTCCCTTGCTGCCCCCCCTGCTGCCTCCTCTCCTTCCTCCCTTCCGTCCTCTCTCCTCATATCCCCATCTCCCATTTCGACGTCCGCTGATCCATGTGAGAGGTACACCCGGGCACTCGACAGCGCATGATTATGCTGCTGCTGCTGCTGCTGCTGCTGCTGCTGCTGCTGCTGCTGCTGCTGCTGCTGCTGCTGCTGCTGCTGCTGCTGCTGCTGCTGCTGCTGCTTCTGCTTCTGCTGCTGCTGCTTGTGCTGGGAATCAAGAGGAAGTGTGAGAAGTGTAGGGGCCGGAGACTCTCTGGTGTCCCTCGGTGTGAGGGACAGGGTAAGAGTGAGTTCATCTGGTGTGGCGTGGTGGGGTGGGGGAACAGTAAATGGCGGAGAAAACAAGTAAATTTGTCCGTGTGCATGCGTGTGCATGTGTGTGCATGGGTGTGTGTGCGTGTGTGCGTGTGCATGTGTGTGCATGTGTGTGTGTGCGTGTGCATGCGTGTGCATGTGTGTGCATGTGTGTGTGTGCGTGTGTGCGTGTGCATGTGTGTGCATGTGTGTGTGTGCGTGTGCATGTGTGTGCATGTGTGTGCATGTGTGTGTGCGTGTGCATGCGTGTGCATGTGTGTGCATGTGTGTGTGTGCGTGTGCATACCTGTGCGTGCATGAATGCGCGTGCGCGCACGTGTGTGTGTGTGTGTGTGTGTGTGTGTGTGTGTGTGTGTGTGTGTGTGTGTGTGTGTGTGCGTGCGTGAATGTGCGCGTGCACACTTGTTTGCGTGTGTTGCGACTGCTGAAAAAACAAAACGTGTGTGTGTGGGGTCAGCCTTGGTGCATGTGAGGCTTAGAGTGCGAGCAATGTTGTCTGATAGGCTCTTGCTAAGGACACGACACGGCAGAAGGTGAGAAAGAAGAGATCAGATCCTTTTCCCACCCCGCTCCTGATTTTGGTTATTGTTGTGAGTTCTGAAGTAAAATAAGCGAGTGAGGATGCAACACAAGGTTAGGAGTGAAGGGAGAAAAAAAAAAAAAAAAAAAACCACGTGACCGTGGGGGGTGGAAGCCGGACAAGCGAATATGGGGGGAAATAGAAAGAAAGGTGCACAGAAGGACATACGGCCGAGTAACAGGGTCAACCCGAACCAATTCGACCCAATCTTTATCAGGCTGGTTCGGGTCAGATCGGCCCTGGTCAGGTCGGCGAGAGATTTTTCCCGATCCGACCCAGCTTAATAAGGTGTTGATTCGGCAAAAACCCCGAGTCATGTCAGGTTGACCCGCTGACAAATCTCGATCTGAGAGTCAGGTCGGGTTGGGTCCAAGAGTCAGGTCGATCCCACCAGAGGAGTGACTCGAGCGGGCCATAACCCTGGGTTGGGTCAGGTCAACTGGACCAGATCAGACCTGTGCGCATGGCTCTGCAGACTTACATGTGGCCAGGACAGGAGATACAACAAGACTATAGAGTCTGAAAGGCTGTGCGTCTTACCTTGCTGACAGTGCTCCAGAGACAAGTCTGGCTGGTAATGCTTCTGGTGTAACTGAATTTGTTGGGGGTGCTGTTGTTGACCGCCTGTTGACTGCTGTGGTTGACTTCTTGTTGACTGATGTTGTTGACCGCCCGTTGAATGCTGTGGTTGACTTCTTGTTGACTGCTCTGGTTGACTTCTCGTTGAATGCTCCGGTTGACCTCTCATTGACAGCGGTTGCCTGTGCCAAAGCTGCCTCTCTGCCACCCCCTGCTGCTGCTGCTGCTGCTGCTGCTCCAGTGGAGCCACTGCTGATGCCACAACCTCTGCTGCTCCATGTGCTGCTCCCTCTGTGGTGTGTGTTTCCGGGATGACTGCTGGTGCTGCTGCTGCTGGCGCTGCTGCTGCTGTTGCGCCTGGCACTGTCACATGCTGCAGGTTCTGGTGCTGGTGCTGGTGCTGGTGCTGCTGCTGCTGCAGGTGCTGGTGCTGGTGTGCACCTGCTGGCACAGCTGCAGTGTGGTGCGGGCAGCAAGGGCAGTGATGGGACGCAATAGAGCAGGAACGGCACAAAACTGACTCCATTGGTGGTGGTGCTGCTGCTGTTTCTGCTGGTGCTGCTGGTGATACTGCTGGTGCTGCTGCTGATGGGGGTCTCATAAGAGACGCGAGTGCGTATGTGGTGGGATTGATGGTGGTGACATCAGGAGGGATGGGGCCGGAGGAATGTGGGAGTGAAGTGGGAGGAGGGTAGTACAGCGGGGGAAATGCGGGGGGCAGTGAAGCAGGGACGGAGGAAGGGACTGAGGCGGGAAGCGTGGAAGTGGGAGACAGGTAGGACGGGTGTAGGATAGGGTGCGAGACAGATTGGAAGGGAGCAGAATGAGAAGGGATAGCAGGCTGCGGTTGCAGAACAAGCAGAAGGATGGGAGAAGCAGACCAAGGAAGGGATATCTGGGCAGTGTGAATCCAAGGAGAAGGAGAGTAATGGGCAGGAGGGGCCGTTAGAGAGTGCGCGCAGGGGGGATCAGCGGAACAGGGGGGATTTTCTGTGTGGTGCGCAGAGGGATAGGGGGGAGGATGCGCGGAGGAATGGGCGCAGGGATGGATGGTGGGAAGAGAGAATGGATGGACGGAGGGATGGATGAATGCTTGAAAGTGGGAATTAGCTGTGCAGGGATGCGCGCAGGAGTGGGGAGCGGAATGGGGGGAAGGGTTGGCGAAAGGATGAGGGGAAGGATTGGCGGAGGGATGGACGGAAGGATGGGCTGAGGGATGGTGAACGGAATTGGCGGTGGGAAAGGGGAAGGGATGGGAGGGGGCATGGGGGAAGGCGAAGGGGGAGGCTTGGGGAGAGAGGTGATGTAAGGGATGGGTGTGAAGCGGAGGAAAGGAGAAAAGGCGATCATGTCCTGAAGGGAGCGGAGGGGACGAGAAGGGGTGCGGGCATTCTACTCCTGGGGGAGGGGGTTCGCTTCCTTGACCCACTTCGTCAATGAGCCCAGTTGCTGCTCCTGCTGCCCCTGCTGCTGCCCCTGCTGCTGCCCCTGCTGCTGCCCCTGCTGTTGCTCCTGCGGCTGCTGTTCCTGTCAATACTGGTTCTAAAACTGCTCTTCCTGCAGCTCCTGCTGGTTTTGCTGCTGCTCTTCCTGCTGCTGTTGTTGCTGCTCTTCCTGCTGCTACTGATTTTCCTGCTGCTGCTGCTGCGTGTAGGGCTGATCTTGTTGGAGCTATTTTTGACCGAGGTTTTGCTGCTGCTGCTGCTGCTGCTGCTGCTGCTGCTGCTGCTGCTGGTAGTGGTGATGGCTGTGCTGCTACTGCTGATGATGGTCCTGCTGCTGTTGGTGGTTGCGGTGGTGATGATGGTGCTGTTGCTGCTGCTGCTGCTGCTGCTGCTGCTGCTGCTGCTGCTGCTGCTAGTGCTTCCACGGATGCTGGTTGTGGTGCAGGAGCTGTTGATGTCACGAGTTCTACTGTTTTTTTAGCTGTTCCTGTTCCCGTTTCTACTCCTACTCCTGCTCCTGCTCCTGTTCCTGCTCCTGCTCCTGTTCTTGCTCCTGCGGAACCTCCTAAATCTCCTACATCGCTCCCTGCTGCTGCTGCTGCTGCTATCATTAGCCCTGCATCCACCTCATCCGATTCCTCCTTCCCTCCTCCTCTATCTTTCCCCATCGCCCGTGCCGCTCCGCCCTCCTCCCCTTCCCCACATGATTCCATCATCTCTCTCATCTTCCCCTCTCCGCTATCCTTTTGAGACGCCTCAAAAGTCATCTCTCTCATCTTTTCCTCGCTGCTATCCTTCCATTGACTCGGAGTGGTTGTGCCCGCTCCGTCAACTGTCCTCCCACTCACCTCTATCCCCCGCCTCAACCCTCCATCGTGCCCTGATTCTTCACCCTCGTCTTCTTCCTCTTCCCTTTCTTGATCTCTTTCATATCCTACTTTCTGAGCCCCCTCCCCTACCACCACTAGTACAGCCATTGGCACCATCACCTTGACGTTTCCACTACCCTTCCCTTCCACTCCCACTACCCTCTCCTCTTTCCTCCTCTCTCTCCCAGCCTCTGCCTCCGCCTCCTCTTCCTCTTTCTCCGCATGATCCTGCCGCTGCGTCACAAATTCACCCTCCTCCAGTTCCACCTCCCATCCCTTCACTCCATCATCCCGTTCCCTTTTCCTCTTCAGATTTCTTTTGCCTTGCACCGCCGGTTCCCCGCCCACTGTGGGCTCTGACAATGGAAAAAAGTCCCGATCCGACGGTGTATTTCCAGAACAAAATTCCTGTCCACCAGTACTGTTGGTTCTTTCAACGTGGGAGCTCATGAAGTCGGCTGGAGGCGGCTCAGAAGCAGATGTGAGGAAAGCAACAGGAACAGCTATCGGCCGCAGCATCCCCGCTACTAATACTAGAACTACTACTATACTACTAATACATGTCGATGAGTCATCACCTGTCACACGGAGTGTGGCAGTGGCAGGAGCATGATGATGATCCGGCGCATAGTACTTTGGCCTGACTCGTCGAGATCTACCGGCGCGGCTCGACGCAGAAGGAACTCCTTTCACTAAACTGTGGAACAGAATTGAGCCTACTAGGATGGAGCAGCCTGCGTTCCGGCGAGGAGCCCTGCACTTTTCTGGCCAGGGGAATTGAAATAGTTGTACTACTATATCGTTTGATACGAAAGGCACTACAGCTTGTACAAGTTGGTGCTCCTAATAGTAGTAGTGCATAGTAATAGGGCCGCGGCAAGAGGCCGTTTCCACCTCGTAGTAGTATAGCAAGCTTGAGCAACGCGCAACGATGATTCTGGGACCATACATGCTAGTAGATTTCGGGTCGCGGGGTACAGTGTTCAAAGTAATGCAATTTCGCTGGCTGCTTCTTGTTGGAATGCTCTGCAGCAGCAAGCTGAATTTCGGGTCGAGAGATTGGATTGCTCTTATTACATCATGATGACATTAGACAAGTTCTGAAACAAGTTGAGATCGGTTCAAAAAGTTGCAGGTGGGTTGGGCTGCTTCTTTTTCGGTGGTGCTAGAACCTGTCATTCCTGAATATGAGGGTTGGAAGCGATGGGCAGAAGTACAGAACAGCCCCTTGGCCTTGTGGGCTGTACGTGTATACATGGACGTACTCGAGCAATGCTTGTGAATTCGTACAGTACTTACTTGCATTCCGGACTTGGGAAAAGTAGTTGGCTGATGGATGAATCTCTGTGGAACAATGTACTGTATTGTACACGTAGTGCTGAATAGTGCTTCTATGACATGTCCTCACGGGTAGGGCAGGGTAGGGTGGTTCCGAATGTTTTTGGTCGGCTCAAGCAGGTCCTCCGGGGATGTGGAGTGGCAGCCTGTCGAATGAGGGGTCATCACTGTGGCGTTGGGCCCATTTGTGACCAGATGCGGCCTGTGTAGTCGCGGAGCACGAATGATAGATTGGATAGATGCCCCAACTTGTTCTGAAGACCTTCCAAAACAAGGGTTTTATTCAAACTCTAGAAGCTTAAAGTGCCGTGAAGGTCACTCGCGAAGGAAACTTACAGTATCCGAGCTGGCTCTCATGGTGTAAATCGGGAAAAATGAAACAATGAGGCTAGCGTATTTTCATGGAGTAATTACTCTGATTGGTTTCCAATGGTGTTTCGAACGTGAACGGACCTGCACCAGCCGTAGAACGCATTTGGCGCGTACACACACGAGATGATGCGGGTTTACGGTTCGCATGAGAAATGGAAGCGGGTGTGCTTTGTGCGGCGCGTCACCGCCATGATACGCAGATGGAAAGACAACTGTACAGTACCGACACACTGACTTGCGGTACAGAATTTCACATCACGGAAATGACAAGCATTTTAGAGCCAACGTGCTCTCACCTGGTTGGGCATTTCTGCCATGCATTTTACAAATGTGATGTGATAATTCGTCCATTCTGTACGTTACACCGTACACGGATACTCGTTCGTACAGTTACGATTTTCTTTTGCCCCTCCATCTCCAACCAAACCTTCAGCTGGGTTGGAGTCCGGTTAGCTGCTTCAGGAAGCGCACAGTCAAATCTAATTTGTTTTACGTGAACTCGACACCGATTCCCTTCCCTTATATATGGCTGCTGCAAGCTTGCGTGGTGCCCCCACCCCTGGGGGCTGTTCGCCAGCACCTTTGAAGCCAAGAACCACGGGATACGACGGGATCAGGAAGGTGGTTCTCGCCTTCCTGATCCCGTCAGTTAGGGTTCGTTAAGCTCCGTCAGCCTGGTCAGCCCGTAAAAATTCTGCCGAGCCTCTCCTAACTTCCAAACCAGAAACCAAAGCGGGGGCGTGGCGAACGCCCCCATTTCGAAACCGAATCGAACTGCTCGACCGCAACTTCGTCCCCAGGCAGAATTCCCTCCCCAAGCTATGCCATCGCCATCCCCCCTTTTTCAAAGGCCCTGCTCTACAGGCAAGTGTTTCCATGGCGAGAATTCTCGTAGGTGCTTCAGTCGACTGTCAATTTAGGTTCGATGGCAGGGTCAGCCCGAAAAAGGCTGTCAAATCTGTTCGTTTCCGTCCGAGCCAAACGGAAACACGTTACCGCAGAACAGATCTGGTGTGGATACGGAAACGACGGAATGGAAGGTGAGTCCCCACCTTCCATCCCTGGCAATATTAGTTTCCGTTTCCACGCCAAGTGAAACCTCCTTTTCATGGGAGGCACAGTGGCGTCGAAACAGAAAAAATGTTTCTAGGGACAACCTTTTCTTTGCCCCTAAAATGCATCTTTACATGTTCATTCGTACTCGATTTAGAAGGTGCCACTCGTTTCGGACATCGGTACTAGCCCAACTCACTCGAGGGTTTGATTGTGACTTAGCTTCTGTCGATCTAGTTTTCTATTTACATGGTAGATTTTTAAACCGGGAATAATCTAGGGTACTACACTCTTAAACAATACAGAAGGAGGGACTCTCGCTTCCTCCTATTTGACACGAAACTCCAGACAGAGACTGCGGAGGTTTCCTGAATTGGTTGAGCGTGACGAGGCAAAGAAGAAAAAAACCACGAGGGTTTCTTTGTTTCCGTTTCCACGCTGTGCCCGTCCACTTGTAGAACAAGGCCAAAGGACAGCTATGGCACAGCGATTGCATTGCTGTTCAAAGCCCTTGGGGGGAAGGTGGGGATGGAGGTTCCCGATGCGGTTGCCTAATTTCGCTTTTCGAGTGCAAAAGTTTCTCGAGTGGCATTACGCCCAAACCTCGGAGGTGGGTTCCACCTCCGTTTACAGATGCGATCGCGATGCCGATGCCATCTTTTTCATTCAAAACTTCGATTTGCTGGCGAACAGCACCCTGAACGTCTGCAAGCACATAGAAGTTCAAGCGGCATGCGGTGGGGCAAGAAACTGGGGCCATCTGCCAATCAAATCAGGGATCGTACTGCAGCAATGCCCTGCCTGGAACTTTACGCAATCGCCACCCAACTCGACCTGGAGAGGAGATGCCATCTCAAAGGCACCCCCTCTGTTTCAAGCTGCACGAACAAGCTGGCCAGCTGGCGGGAGAATTCGCGTAATGATGGCTCGTTAGGAAACTCGCTACAATCTTAGGTATTACAAAAAGAAAATGATTCACCTCAGGTTTGTAAAAACATATTGCATCAACAATGGCATAAAGCAATGCCAGGTTGCAGCACATGCTAATCCTACACCTACTCATTCTTCCGCAACACCCGTCACAGGACTCCAATCATCCCCACAGCGGCGAGCGCACAGTCATGTTCCTGTACTCTGCAAAGACCTGCCACGTGGGGTCGGTGGCGGTGCCAGGGTCCCTGTTGCCCGCCCAGCAGCCGCCACAGATGCCACTGGCGTCCCACACGCTGGCGTAGAGGAAGGAGGGCTTGGAGGGGTACGGCGCGCCGTCTATGGCGGTGGTGTTGAGGAGAACCCGCACTGGGACAAAGTCAATGTACCAGCTGAGAGGGGGAATGGGGGAAAAAGAAGGAGGGGGGGGGAGGGGGGGGGGGGGAAGCATATGAGAGAGAGGGAGGGGGGGGCAATAAGAACAGGATGCCGGCGCACCGACATTCCACCCCGATGTACAGAATCGATGTCGGTGCGCCCCGCCCCAGGCTACCCTATGCCAGCTGGCCTTTGAGAGTTCTCATAACCCACCCAGCCCAGGCAACCCTATGCCATGCTGCGCCCAGTAGGGTGCATAGTTGTGAAACGCAGCGGAGCAGTCGCGGCCCAGCCAGGCTACCCAATACCACCCCCACCCCTCCCCCCCTCTCCGTCAGCACTTACATGAGCTGCTTGTTGGTCCAGTACAGCGCGTAGTTATGGAACGCGGCAGAGCAGTCGTGGCCGAGGGTGATGAGCTTTTCGTTGCCGCCCACCCCTTGCACGTAGTAGTTGGTCTGCACGACCGTGTTGTTCTTGCCCAGCCACTCAAAGTCGATCTCGTCCTGCACCTTGCTGCCCTCCTGCGATGATAACTGCGGGGTTCAAACACAGACGGAAGGCGGAGGAGGGGTGGGGGGAAGGGGGAGAAAGGGGAAGGGGGAGAAAGGGGAAGGGGGGAGGTGGGAGGTGGGAGGGGGGGAAGTGAGGAAGGGGAGGGAGGAGGGAAGGGAACCACGGCTCAGGAATGAGAGGGCCAGAGGGAGAGGCAGTGGAGCGGAGCGGTCGTGGCCGAGGGTGATGAGCTTTTCGTTGCCGCCCACCCCTTGCACGTAGAAGTTGGTCTGCACGACCGTGTTGTTCTTGCCCAGCCACTCAAAGTCGATCTCGTCCTGCACCTTGCTGCCCTCCTGCGATGATAACTGTCGGATGGTTTCGGAGAGGGGGAGCTCTTGACAGTTCTAAAGTGTGTGGTTGCTTGCACCTAAGGAATGCCAGTTCTTCAAGAGCTCTCTCTAACACACACACACACACACACACAAACACAGAAACAAACAAACACACAAGCAAACAATCAAACAAACATCTGACAAGGAAACAAACCAACAACTTGCACCCTGACAAGGCAGCAGAACACCCAGACAGAGAAACCACGCGCTCAAAGGACTTTTGCGGCATCTCAAGAGCGCCCAGGCAGGCCGCTGGACTCACATAGAAGCTGGAGACGAGGCCGCTGCCCTTCCCCTCCGCTTGACCTGCCTAGACCTGCCTGTAGCAGTGACGTAAAGCAGCACACCAACTCTAAGAGCAGAAGGGCGGCTAGAGACTCAAGAGAGGGACTCACGTAGAAGCTGGAGACAAGGCCGCTGCCCTTCCCCTGCGGGCACCGATAGTCTACACTGAAGAACCCAAAGCTGTTTGGCAGGGACGAGCGGAAGCGAGAACCTGTGGTGGAGTGCGGTGGAGTGTGGTGGGGTGGGGTGGGACAGAAAAGGGAGGAGACAGATTAGCAGTGTGCGGGCACTGATAGTCCACACTGAAGAACCCAAAGCTGTTGGGCAGGGACGAGTGGAAACGGGACCCTGCGGTGGGAAAGGGTGGGGTGGGATGCGGTGGGAAAGATGGGGGTTGGGGTGGAAAGGTTAGGAGTGTGCAGTGCAGGAAATGGTAGTCCACACTGAAGAACCCAAAGCTGTTGGGCAGGGACGAGCGGAAGCACGAGCCTGCGGTGGGGTGTGGTGGGGTGAGGTGTGGTGGGGTGAGGTGTGGTGGGAGAGATTAGGAGTGTGCTAGAAGCTGCAGTCCACACTGAAGAGGGGGCGGACGGGTAGGGTAGGGTAGTAGGGTAGAGGAAAGGACTGGCAGCAGCCGAGAGAAAAGCACTTTCATGGCGTGCCAGCTGCTGCTGCTGCTGCTGCTGCTGCTGTCGAAAAAGAAACTTTGTATCACTTGAAATCAATCTGAAAAGGGCAGAACCCCACAACCCCCATACCCCTCTGTCCCCTTGCCGACAAGAGCACAGCACAGCACAGCACAATCCCCACATCCCTCCCTCTCCCTTCCAGCCCACCGCAACTGTTGTCCATCTTGATCGTGGCACTGCCGTCCGTGCTGCTGCTGCACCCCACGCAGTGGCCATCACAAGCAAGCCGACCAGCGCACAGCACAGCACAGCACACCACAGCACAGCACAGCACAGCACAACACAGCAAAGCACAATCACCACAGCACACCACAGCACAGCACAGCACAACACAGCACAGCACAATCACCACAGCACACCACAGCACCCACCCAGCCCCACAACCCCCCACGGCTCTCTTCTTGTGCTCACCACAGCACAGGAGTTGTCCAGAGCACAGCGCAATCCCAACACACCCACAACAGCCCGAAAAGCCCCAACAGCCGCAACAGTCCCCGTGTCCCCCCTTCTCCCTCCCAACGCACCACAGGAGTTGTCCATCTTGATCGAGGCGCTGCCGTCCGTGCTGCTGCTGCTGCTGCTGCTGCTGCTGCTGCTGCTGCTGCTGCTGCTGCTGCTGCTGCTGCTGCTGCTGCTGCTGCTGCTGCTGCTGCACCCAATGCAGTGGTCATCGCAATAATCCACCGCCAGAGCCGTCAGCGTCACCTTCCCTCCCCCGCCCCCACAGCACAGCACAACCCCAACTCACCACAGCTATTGTCCATCTTGATGGTTGCACTCCCGTCCGTGCTGCTGCTGCACCCAATGCAGTGGTCGTCGCAGTAATCCACCGCCAGGGGCGTCAGCGTCGCCGGCGCTATGCTTGCGGGGTACGTTGCGGGGGGAGGTGGCGAGGGGTTTGATGGCTGCCCCACCTCCGCCATCAGAGGGGAAATCACCGTGATGCCTGGGGGAGGAGGGCGAAGGGGGGGAGGGCGAAGGGGGGGGGGGACGGAAAAGGGTTTAGCAGGGTATGTTGCAGGGGCAGGGGCAGGGGGCGACGGGTTGGATGGTTGCCCCACCTCCGCCATCAGGGGGGAAATCAACCCTCCAACCATGCACTGCACGCACCAGCCCCTTCCCAACCCTCGCCTACCCTTTCACAATCAAAACCAGAACCTCCCCCACTCCACCCCACTCCACCCTGCTCCACAGCACGCAACGCACCAGTCCAGGCGGCAGTGTCGACGGTGGTGCTGGGATGAGAGTAAACGCGCCGGCGTATCGCTGCATGGTGGTGCCCTGCCCACCGCACGCCCCAGACCTTATATTGAAATCACTTTTGAGAGCTCTCTCAGAAGTGATTTCAACGCGCCGGCGTATCGCTCCATGGTGGTGCCCTGCCCACCGCACGCCCCAGCCCTTTCCCAACCCTCTCTCACCCTTCCCCAATCAAACCAGAGCCTCCCAACGGAACGCACCAGTCCAAGCAGCAGTGTAAACGGTGGTGCTGGGGGTATACGCGCCGGCGTATCGCTCCATGGTCGTTCCAGCAGCAGCAGCGGCGAGCGTGCCGTATAGGAACATGGGGCGGAACGGGTACGGCTGCCCCTCCTTCTTCCTCCCTACAGGCTACACCTCCCTTCGTCCAGCCAACCAGCATCCTCTCATCAGCAAACCCTTTCCCCAGCCGGGCCAGCCCCCTCACTCCATGAACCCCACACCACCACACGCCCCACCCCACTCCACCTCACCCCACGCACCAGTCCAAGCAGCAGTATAGACGGTGGTGCTGGGGGTATACGCGCCGGCGTATCGCTCCATGCTGGTGCCGGCAGCAGCGGCGAGTGTGCCGTACAGGAACATGGGGCGGAACGGGTACGGCTGCCCCTGCTGCTTCACCAGAGCTCGCGCCAGCTTGCCGTCAACGTACCACCTGGTGGGGGTTGGAGATTGGGGATAGCATGTGTGTGGTGTGTGTAGGGAGTTGAGAGCAGGAGGAACATGGGGCAGTATGGGTACGGCTGGCTGTCCCTGCTGCTTCACCAGAGCTCGCGCCAGCTTGCCGTCAACATACCACCTGAGGAGGGTTCAAGAACAGGTGGGGTGGGGAACATCGAAATAAGGGTGGGTGGAGAAGATCGAGGAAGGATTGGGGGTTCAACTCAACATATTCCAACAGGCCTTCACAAATGCAATGCAATTCCACAAAAACCTCCAACCGGCCAACACCTCCCACTTTTCACCCCAACACAACACCTTCCTCCCCGTCTTCCCCACAAAAACCTCCATTCACTGAGGCATGGGTGGCTTGGCGTCCCAGTGAATGGAGAACAGAACACCAACTCGTGGGGGGGCGAGTTTTGAGTCGACTCAAAACTCACCTCGGCATGGTTGGCTTGGCGTCTCAGTGAATGGAGAACAGAACACCAACACGTGGGGGGGGGGGCCTTGAGTTTTGCTGGCTCGCACACAACACAACACAACACCCTCCCTCCCACCAACCTCACAAGCCCCCAACCCCCCAAATCCTCCCCCTTTTCCCCCCAACGCACGCGCGCAGCATAGTTGGCGTCCCATAGATGGAGAACACATGGGGGGCGTGCCTTACGTCATACAGGCTAGCCCACAACACCCCCCCCCCCCCCCCCCCCCCCCAAAAAAAAGAAAACACTCTTCCCCCAATTGCACAAGCCCCCAACCCCCCAATCCCCCATTTCCCCCTTCCCCCAACGCACGCAGCACAGTTGGCATCCCAGTAGATGGTGAAAACGTGGGGGGGGGCCTCCGCGCAGTGGAAGCACAAACCCCCAGCTACACAAGACACACAACCGAGCTGACTTGTGAGTCGACTCAAAAGTCCCTCCGCGCAGTGGTAGCACAAAGTTACAACCCCCCACCCCAGCTACACAAGACGCACAAGCTGTTCATCACCCAATTCCCCTCCGCCCTCTCCCCACTATAAACCCCCGACCCCCCAGCCCCGCCCTCCCCCTTCCCCCCCCCCCCCCACAACGCACGCAGCATAGTTGGCATCCCAGAAGATGGTGAACACATGTCAGGGGCCTCGAGGTAATGTAGATAGCACCAAAACCGTCCCCCCAACACCCTCCCCCCAACATTTCCCCCCTCAATACTCCCCCAACGCACGCAGCATAGTTGGCGTCCCAGTAGATGGTGAACACGTGCGGGGCCTCCGCGCAGTGGAACCCCAGGCTGATTTTCTGGGGGTAAACCACCCCGTTCACGTGGTACGTGGCCAGGGCCGTCGTCTTGTTGTTGCCCACAAAGTCCCACCCCAGGCCTGAGTTGGCGCCTATGCGCGCGCTCGAGTCCAGCTGGTAGCAGTGGAAGAAAGGAGCACGACAAATAAGAGAGATGGGATAGTTGAGTGAGTGAGTGAGTGAGTGAGTGCCCACAAAGTCCCACTCCAGGCCTGAGTTAGCGCCGATTTGCGCGCTCGAGTCCAGCTGGTGGTGTTACAGGGGGAGAGGGGGGCACGGGGAGAGTGGAAAAAGGGGAGAGAGGCACATCACATAAGGCACATCACATAAGGCACATCACATAAGGCACAATGTCCCACCCCAGGCCTGAGTTGGCGCCTATGCGCGCAATAGAGTCGAGTCCACCTGGTAGCAGGGGTAGATTTTCTTAGTCGACTCAAAAATAGTCCCACCCCAGGCCTGAGCCTATGCGCGCACTAGAGTCAAGTCCAGCTGGTAGCAGGGGTAGAAAGGAACATGGCAAATAAGAGATGGGATAGGTGAGTTGGTGAGCAACCACAACCACAAAGTGAGACAACCACGAAGTCCCACCCTAGGCCTGAATTGGCGCCTATGCTTTCGCTAAAGTCCAGCTGATGGTGTTACAGGGGTATATGGGGAGAGGAGCGAGGGAACGAGTGTGGGAGCAAGGAAGCAAGGGAGCGAGTGAGAGAGCGAGTGAGCGAGTGAGAGAGCGAGTGAGTGAGCGAATGGTTGAGTGAGTGGATTAGTTAGTACATCCCAGCCTTGGCGATTAAGAACAAAGTCTCACCCCAGCCTTGCGTGAATGAGTGAGAAAGTAGGCACAAAGGAGAGGGAGAGCAGGGCTGGATTCATGTAGAAAGAAGGAGCACACACAAGAGGGAAGGAGCACACACAAGAGGGAAGGAGCACACACAAGAGGGAAGGAGCACACACAAGAGGGAAGGAGCACACACAAGAGGGAAGGAGCACACACAAGAGGGAAGGAGCACACACAAGAGGGAAGGAGCACACACAAGAGGGAAGGAGCACACACAAGAGGGAAGGAGCACACACAAGAGGGAAGGAGCACACACAAGAGGGAAGGAGCACACACAAGAGGGAAGGAGCACTCGACAAGAGGTGTCAGCTGGGCAGAAAAGCAGCACACAAACAAGGGGGAAGGGGAGGAGCAGGAGACTCACATAAAAAGAGTACATAAGGCCAGAGGTGTCAGCGGAGGAGCACTGCATGGACGCACGGAACACGCCCGATGTGAACTGCATTGACTGCCATCTGGACCCTGTTGTTAGACGAAAGGCGGGGAGCGGGAGGGAGAAGGGAAGAGGGAGTGGGAAGCAGGGAGAGGCGAGAGGAGAGACTTCTGAGAACTCGCAAAAGGGAGACCAGTGGAGGGGAAGGGACGGGAGGGGAGGGGAGGCGAGGCGAGGCGAGGGGAGGGGAGTGGGTGTAGTCAACGCACACAAAGAAGCACATGCATGTGCGATTGGAATGGACTCGCACGAAGCAGCGCGTGTCTGCATTTCGACACCCGAAACCAAACTCAGATCGGAACAGCAGCACCCTCCCGACAACAAAAGAAGTACATCTAGACATGTAAAAGGAGTACTCCTTTATAGTCAATCAGGATCTAAAAGGAGTACTCCTTTATAGTCAACCAGGATCTAAAAGGAGTACTCCTTTATAGTCAACCAGGATCTAAAAGGAGTACTCCTTTATAGTCAACCAGGATCTAAAAGGAGTACTCCTTTATAGTCAACCAGGATCTAAAAGGAGTACTCCTTTATAGTCAACCAGGATCTAAAAGGAGTACTCCTTTATAGTCAACCAGGATCTAAAAGGAGTACTCCTTTATAGTCAACCAGGATCTAAAAGGAGTACTCATTTATAGTCAACCAGGATCTAAAAGGAGTACTCCTCTATAGTCAACCAGGATCTAAAAGGAGTACTACTCTATAGTCAACCAGGATCTAAAAGGAGTACTCCTCTATAGTCAACCAGGGTCTAAAAGGAGTACTCCTCTATAGTCAACCAGGGTCTAAAAGGAGTACTCCTCTATAGTCAACCAGGATCTAAAAGGAGTACTCCTCTATAGTCAACCAGGATCTAAAAGGAGTACTCCTCTATAGTCAACCAGGATCTAAAAGGAGTACTCCTCTATAGTCAACCAGGATCTAAAAGGAGTACTCCTTTATAGTCAACCAGGATCTAAAAGGAGTACTCCTCTATAGTCAACCAGGATCTAAAAGGAGTACTCCTCTATAGTCAACCAGGGTCTAAAAGGAGCACTCCTCTATAGTCAACCAGGATCTAAAAGGAGTACTCCTCTATAGTCAACCAGGATCTAAAAGGAGTACTCCTCTATAGTCAACCAGGATCTAAAAGGAGTACTCCTTTATAGTCAACCAGGATCTAAAAGGAGTACTCCTCTATAGTCAACCAGGATCTAAAAGGAGTACTCCTCTATAGTCAACCAGGGTCTAAAAGGAGTACTCCTCTATAGTCAACCAGGATCTAAAAGGAGTACTCCTCTATAGTCAACCAGGATCTAAAAGGAGTACTCCTCTATAGTCAACCAGGATCTAAAAGGAGTACTCCTTTATAGTCAACCAGGATCTAAAAGGAGTACTCCTTTATAGTCAACCAGGATCTAAAAGGAGTACTCCTTTATAGTCAACCAGGATCTAAAAGGAGTACTCCTTTAAACTGCTTCACCCTCCCCCTCCCTCTCCTTTCCCTCTCCCATTCCCTCTACCCCCCACCCTCACCTCTCCCGTTCCTCTCTTTCCCCCTCTTGCTCTCTCTCACCTCCAGTGTCGCTCTTGCTCTCTCTCACCTCCAGTGTCGCTCTTGTGTGTGATGGTAACCGAATTCCCAGACACAGCAGCATTATCCGCGTTATAGTCAATGAGGATCGAGTTCAGCGGCTTCCCCGCACTGAACATGCCATACCACGAGGGCGGGGCGGGGGGGGACGGGGGCGGAGGGGGAGGCGGAGACGGGGGCGCAGTGCCTAGAGTTCCGCCCAAACCCGTCCCCCCAGTGCCCCCACTCCCCCCGCTGCTCCCGCTGTCGCTACCACTGCTGCTGCCGCTGCTGCTGCCAGTGCTAGTGGGAGGGGGAGGGGGAGGGGCTTTCCTCTTGCGCTTCAGGAGGTTATTGAGGCGCTTCTGGAGCTGCTGAGTGAGGGACGAGACCAGAGAGGAGGAGGAGGGCGGTGGGGAGGAACGTAGCACCCTCTCTCTCCTCTCACTCATGCCATCGCCTTCAGTGATACCCTCTTCCTCTTTCTCCTCCTCCTCCCTGTCCTCCTGCTCCTGCTGCTTTTGCTGCTCCTCCTCCTCATCCACTGTAATTTGCATCTTTTCTACCTCCTCCTGCTTCTCCTCCTCCTCCTCCTCCTTCCCCTCCCCCGTCTCTCCCTCAACATCATCCTCCTCGTCCTCCTCTAGCCTCCTTCTCGTTACCTCGGCTCTCTCTAGAGCCAGCCGACCCTCTCTGAAACACAATCCAACGCACACGGCCGGGAGAAGGGGGAGAACGGGTGAATGGGCGAATGGGTGAAAGGTAGAACTTTTGAAAATGCTCGAAATGGCGGAGAGAGAGAGAGAGAGAGAGAGAGAGAGAGAGAGAGAGAGAGAGAGAGAGAGAGAGAGAGAGAGAGAGAGAGAGAGAGATGTGAAGACAAGGAAGAAGGATTGCGAGGAGTATCCGACGGTTTCATCCCTCTATCTCCCTCCCCCACCCGTCTCCCCCACCAATCTCCCCCTCTGTCTCCCCCGATCCGTTTAAATCCCCCTATTTCCCTCCGATTCCTCCACTCCTCCCCGCCACCGTCTGTGCACGCGCTGCGAGGAGCATCCGACGTTTTCGACCTTCAGATCCCCCCACCCTCTTCCCACCCTCCCCCCACCCACCCTCTTCCCACCCTCCCCCCACCCACCCTCCCCCCCTTTCTTCCCCACCACCGGCGCACGCACTGCGAGGAGCATCCGACGTTCTCGACCTTCACCGCGTCGATCGCGACGCCGTTCCCCGCGTCCACGTCAGCAGTGCCGTTCAGCGGACCCGCGCCGAACGTCAGCAGGCTCTCCGCGCTGGCTGCGCGGAACGCGAAGGACTTGCGCACCCAGTTGGTCGTCTGTTGCGGGCATAGGGGCAGGGGGAGGGGAGCGAGAGGGGGAGGAAGAGGGGGAGCGAGTGGGGGAGGGGAGGGGGGAAGCGGAGGCGGGGTGGGGGGTTGGGGTAAATAGGGAAGGGGGAATTGTGCAACGGACAGGAGGAGGGCTGTCTGGAAACGTGGAGTGGTTGATGCGGGGGAGGGGGAACGGGGGAGCATGTGGGGACGGAGGAAGCAGGGGGAACGGGGGGGCATGTGGGGACGGAGGGAGGGGTAAGTGTACACGTCGAAAAGAATCCGGGGAAGTGGACTGGAGGGGGTAGGATCCGCGTCGCCTCACCACCCTTTTAATACTCACCATCTTTTCAGTGAACACGTCGAATAGCAGCTCAGCGCCAGTAGCGGCGTCGACCACGGTCAGAAGCACGGACGCCGGGTCGCCGAGCCGCAGCACCGGCGCGCGCATCGCGAACGACCCGCTATAGTCACAACCTGCTACCGTCTCTAGCGACTGGAAGATGGACCGCGCGGGAACCGCGGGAATCTGCACGCTATACCGAGGCGCGCTCTGTTCGCTCGGCATGCACGTGCCATTGGCGCTCCGCTGCGCTCCGACCGCCGTTCCCCCGGTGGCTTCGCACTGGATATCCCCCGATACGCGGAGTAGATTAACTCCCCCTTTCGATGCCTTCCAGCCTGGCACCTCTTTCACACCGCGAACCACGCGGCCTAATCGCCCTCCGGAGCGCTTAATCAGGTCTTCTAGCGCGGCGCCCAGTTTGTCGAACCCGCCGTTGCGGAGCAGGGAGCCTGGGGGAGCGGACGAGGGGGAAGGGGGAGGGGGCGATGGGGGGAAGGAGATGGGAGGGAGAGGATAGGGGGAGAGGATGGGGGGGAAATGGCGAGGAGAGAACGGGGGGGAGCCGAAGAGGGGATGAGGAGTGGGGGGATGACAGGGGGAATGGGAAAGGGAAACGGGAAAGGGGATAGGGAAGGAGGAAGAGAATCGGAACTAGGGGTGGGGGAAGCGGGTAAGAGGGGGGGGGAGGGGATTGGAGAGAGGGTGCGGATCGGCGGAGAGAGAACAAGGCGGGATGGAAGTGGGGGAAACGGCGGAAGAAACGGAAGCGACGGAAGTGGGAGGGGGCGGGGGGGGGAAGGGAAAGGGAGGGGGGAGGTGGTGGAAGAGTGGGGGTAAGGAGAGGGGGGGGTGCGGGGAGAGTGGGAAGGGGAGGTGCGAGGAGGGTGTGGGGATAGTTTAGAGACGTCTCAAAACTAGATTGTCGGGGGAGGGGGAGAGGTGGGCGTTATATGAACGAAGCCTTGGGACGCACGTACGTGAGAAGGGCTTCGCGGCGGACGCCGTTTGCGCACATAAGGCGGACGCAATCAGCGCTACTAGTAGCCATGCCCACGCGGCGGAGAACGTATACGCGGAGAGTGTGAACGATGCGCGCAACCTCCCCCTGCTCCGCCAACTCAAACTCCGCGGACCCGGTTTCCGCGCGCCCCCTACTACGGGGCGGTATCCCCCTGCTGTGGTCGAATCGCCTGTCATAACTTCGTTTCCGCGCGCCGCCTCAGCAGCTCCTGCGTTTCCACCGCCCCCGTAGCCGTAGCACTTGATAGAATTCTCGAAACCGCGCACCTGGGACGCTTGCGAGGGTTCGCGTTATCGACTGACCAGCTGGCACGGCTAGGTCTGCCGTCAAGAATAAAAATAATAAAAAAGTCCGTTCTTGGCCCGTTGCGACTCGGGTCAGCGGTCAGTTGTTAATTACCGTAAGAGGTGGCCCAGGTAGGGAGTCAGTAACTAATTCATTACACCACGCGCGAGTGGGGCCCACGGGCTGGTAAACTAGATAAATAATTAGCAATAAAAAGTTATCGATATGGACGGGAGGGAACTGACCAGAACCTCCGCTCTGGCTGTCTCAGATTGTTACTGAAGGATTTCACGAGTGTACGAGGCTCGACTAAAGAATCCTGGTTCAGTTCAAGTGCTGCTGAAGGCTTGCTTAGTGTGTCTCGCGGATTGAAAGCGCTCACTACTTGACTGAAACTGTGGGGGGCCCTACTACTTGCACCGCAGTTGGTGCGTAATCAGTGTGCCTGCCCGCGGAAGGACGGAACGATGGTGGAGCGGAGAAGGTAAGGCGACGATGATGACAGGGCGTAAGCTTTGCTATCTGCGCGTCAATATGCTGCTGGCTGCTTCTGGTCAGGAGCGAGACGTAAATAATGAATTAATCATTATCGATCGGCCCAGGACGAGACATGTAAATACACCAAGTCTCCAACCCATCGCTGCTGCGCTCCGCTGCGCCTCCTCCACCTGCAATCAACGGGCCGCCCCGTCGCTCATTCCTCTCCTCTCCCAGTTGAGCCTACACCGAACGGATGCATCTGGTGCTCTCTCGGCCTTCGTGGTTGCGGCGGCCAGCCAAGGGGAGGGCTTGTGTGCCGCAAAACGCGGTGGAGGAAGGCGGGGGAGAGGCAGCAAGACGTGGGTCTCGTCGGATTGGAAATGGGGAGGAAGGCGTACTGCGGTGCGGTTGGGTTCGGTGGTACAGTACGTGAGGCTGGCAAAGCGGAGAGAGGGGGAGAGGCGGGGGAATCGGAAAGGGGAATGGCGGGGTGAGCAGAGGAGAATGGCGGAAAGACGGTTGGGGAGAATGGTGGGGGAGAAGGTGGGTGGGTGGGTGGGGTGGGGGGAGAGAGGGCAAGAAAGACGGAAAATGGGGGGTGCTGCTGGAGGAGCAGAGGGGGAATGGATGATGGGGACAGGTGGGTGAGCGGCAATGCGGTTCTGGTTGAAGTCAACCGCGCGCAGCTGGAGGGACTGGCACCGCGGCCATGTGGGATGATCATCACGAAACAGAGCGCAACGAATAGGGGAAAGTAGGAAAAGTTGGGAATCGGGAAACAGGGGAATGGGGGAATTTGGTTGAGGGAAATCGTGAAGCCAAAAACACGCGGTCACGTACACCGTTGGCGGAGGAGACCCCGCTTCGCGGAAACCAAGCAACCGACCAGCCCATTCATTTCACGCACATTGCCGCGCTGCGTTGTGTCCGGCGGCAGGTGAGAGAAATTTGCCGGTCGAACCGCTGCGTCTGACACATTGCCGGCGTGGGAATTCATTAAATTTTGTGGATGCTTGTCTTGGTTTTGAGTTTCAGAGCACAGACTCGAAAACATAGTTCGTTTCTTGCTACTTTTACGGTAGCCCTGTATCATGATTTTCCTTCTTGACAGAGTGTCCATGCAACTGACACTTCCATAAGAGAGTTTTGGCTGATGCCCCCATTCTTCTAGCAAAAAGTGGGTTCGAATGCTTGGTGAAACCCCGTGAATGCGAAAATCGTGTCCCGCATTCCACCATCATGCAGCAGGACTTCGGCATGACGAGATGGTAGCAGAAATTTGGTGAAGTTCCACAAGAGCAACAAAATACTTAGCATGAGAGTCTCTACCATTATAAGGAATACCCAAGATGCTTTGTCAACAACTCTGCAAACAACACTTGAGAAGTGAGTGGGAGTCTGCCCGAAGCTGATTGAAACAGTTCTGGACTGGTCTGGTCTGTTTTCGCGAAACGCAACGAAAATTCAGCGCACAGCGCAGATGTCACGGGCACTGACGAAGTCGAGTGCGTTGAATGCAGGTTTGCAGGCGTTGTCAGAAAACCATCCCCGTTATATTAGCTTCCCACTTCGCCTAACCACCTATTTGGAATTTAATGCTCTATCAACACATGACTTGGGCGTCCAAGGCAATCAACAAGTCAAATATTGCAGGTTTTTAATTGAGAGTTAAACTCCTACCTTGATTTCAATCTTGTGCAAATCATTTACCCTATGCTGTAATCATGCCGTTGTTCCTTGTGGCCTATTTACTGTTGTTTCAAGCTAATGCCACAGAAGCAGCGGTTGGAATGTCAGTAACCAGTAACTGCTGCCGCAATTCCACGACCAAACCAACAGCAGCACGAGTGGTGGCGGGAGCGGCAGCAACAGGAGTACGAGCTAGCAAGTCAGAAGTCACGACTCACAACACCACAGTCTCGGCCTTCGCTTCTACGACTTGCCGCGGGTCCGACGCTCCCTAAGCTGCCTCTGCATGGCACAAGAAAGGAGGTGAGGGGAAGAACATGCAAAGTAAACAGCAGAAGAAAACAAAACAAACAAAAAGAGCGGACAGGTGCAGATAGGGAAAGGTCCGAGAGGTGAAGGAGGGAGAGAGGGCTGGGACGGAGGGGACCGAAAACAATATTGAAAGCGGTCTGCAGGGGGGCGGATAGAGAATCCGAGCTTCCACACCTTGTCCTTTCCATCTGACTCTCCTCCGGATCCTCCTGCCCCAGCAGCCTCAGCTTCTGCTTCCTTTGCTGCCTTCTTCTCCTCCCTTTCTCCTGCCGCACCCCCTGCTTTCTTCTCTTCCTGCGCACCCACTGCAATGCCAATAGACACCTTCCTCGCTCGACCCCCCTGCGCTGCTGCTCCTGCCTTCCCATCTCCCCCTTCACCTGCCTCCTGCTCCTTCTCCTTCCCCTTCTCCCCCTCCTCCTCCTCCTTCTCCTTCTCATCCTCCTCACCAGCTGAGTTCCCATTTACAGCAGTACTCTCCTTGGCCTTACCTCCTTCCTTATCCCCTGCCTTTGCCCCTGCCTTCTCCCCGTCCTTCTCAGCCTTCCCTCTGGCACTCTCTTCCGCCCTACCCTCATCCTTCCCTCCCTTAGCTGCCCCCTCGCCCTCTCCCTCACCATCCCCTGACGCTTTCTGCTTCTTATTAGCCCCATTGCGCTCCTCCCCTTCCTCCTCCCCATCAGCCTTCCCCCTCTTCTCCCCGCCCTTCTTCCCCACATCGGTCTTCTCCGGTTTTTCGGCCTCAGTCCCTTTCTTCTTGACCTCTGCACTCTTAGCATCAGCAGTCTTGGTAGTAGCCTTGGCATCAGCCGCACTCGCAGCTACAGGAACACTAGCAGCAATGCCTACACTTGCCTTCACTGCTTTTTTCGCCCCAGCCTTTCCCTCCCCCTTCTCCCCCTCCTCACCGCTTTTCTTCTCCTCCTTCTGCTTCTTTTCGCTCACCTCCTCAGCCCCCTTCTCACTCTCCCCACCCTTCTTCTCAGTCTCCCCTTTTTTCTCCACATTCTCTTCCTTTTTCTCGTCCTCCCCTTTCTCCGCCTTCTCACCTTTATCACCCTTCCCTTCCTTCTCACCCATCTCGCCCTTCTCTTCCCCCCCATCAACCTCATCAGCTTCAACCATTTCCACATCCCCCTGCTCACTGCTCTCACCTCCCTCATCTTCCTTCCCCCCCGCTCCCCTCCCCCTCTTCGCCCCCTTCCCTCTCTTCCCTCCCTCCTCCTTCCCCTCTCTCCCTGTCTCATCCCCCTCCTCATCCCCCTCCCTCTCCTCATCCCCAACCACCTCCTCTGCCTTTCTCTTCCCTCTCCCTCCCTTTTCAGCTGATCCCCCTCCTCTCCCTCCACCACCAGCAGCGGCAGTAGCAGTCCCTTTCCCTCTCCCAGTCCCCTTATCCGCTGCAGGTGTGCTTGCACCCTTAGCCTTCCCCCCATCTGCCTTAGCAGCAGCGCCAGTCGCAGCAGAGGGAGCGGGAGCAGGAGGGTCAGCAGCAGGAGCTGGAGGAGGAACCTTTTTCTTGTGAGATCTACAGAAAAGGGGCCGAGTAAGGACGAGGAAAAGCGGAGACAAGTTGATGCCTGAAAGGGTCAGAATGCAATTCAGCCACTCGAAATCAAGTCCCATGCCGCTGCCTCAGAATTCTTATTCAGAATGCTAGTGCAGTACAGAATAGCACATAAAAAACTGAAAATAACAAAAAAAGGTCAAGTTCAAAGTGATTAACGCATACAGAGATCACGCGAAGCGGGATGGGAAACAACCGTTGCACACCCACGCATGCTGGAAGATATTAACCTAACGAGTTACAGATGTCCTTACTTGCTAATGCTGGTGGCACCGTCAGCACCTGCTGCCTCCGCGCCCTTTCTGTGTGACCCTGCAGTCTTTCCTTTGCTGGCAGATTCAGGAGCAGAAGTTGCCGGCTTCTGTAGAATAAACAGGCAGGCAGACAGACAGACAGACAGACAGACAAAAAGATAACAGTCGTGAAAAAAAATTACAGTCAAGAATTCAGAAATGGTTGCCCCACCAGAGGTAGCAAAACCAAGAGACGTCATAGCCACAAAGGAAGATCCGCATTGCTTGTCTCACCAATTATGAAAGCAGCGGCGCCAGACAAAGGAACATCGACAATCTGACAGTCCGACAATCTGTCACAGGAGACTAAAACTGCAACGAACCTCAGCGGAAGCGGCGGTGGGGGGGGGCAGACCGTCAATGAACTCAAACTTCTCCCGGTGCAGCAACAGGTCCTCCTTGTCGCCATCGTCGTACCGCACCTGGTGTGTGCGCGCCGACAAAGGGGATGGAGAGGTAGGGAGATGGAGTGATGAATGGATGATGTGCTAGGTTTTCTAAGCGTCTCACAGTGCGTTCTCCCACAAGCAGTGCGTTCTCCCACAAGCAGTGCGTTCTCCCACAAACAGTGCGTTCTCCCACAAACAGTGCGTTCTCCCACAAACAGTGCGATCACTGTTGCATCACAAGAAATGCGTGTTTTTCTAAGCGTCCCGGATTGATGATTTGCAAGTAGAGTTTGCACAGGCTTTGATCAGGATTGGCACCTAGCATGCATACCGTGTGCTTCTCAGTCTTGACTTGGTATGACTTGATTACGCCCTTATAGTAGCTGCGCAGGAGAGAACGGAGGACAGGAAGGGAGGGAGGAAGGGTTTTGATCTTGTGTAAATAGGGCAGCAGGCAGCATGTGTACGTTTTGGTGAGGGTTTCTCAGCATACCATACCTAGACGAAATTCACAACAGATCAAAACGGAATTCACACATCCACCACAATACTTCACCCAATCTCGTGTTGCTACTCACGCTTTGTCTAGCGGCCACCACACTTTGATGCGCCGCCCCACATACGCCTTGCGCAGCGCAATCTCGTTCGCCCCTGCCGGCGCAGCTGCTGGTGTTGGTGGTACTTTCTGATAAGATGAGAACACGTGCGAGAGGCAAGGGAGGGAAGGAAGGAGGGAGGGAGGGAGGGAGGGAGGGAGGGAGGGAGGGAGGGAGGGAGGGAGGGAGGGAGGGAGGGAGGGAGGGAGGGAGGGAGGGAGGGAGGGAGGGAAGGAGGGAGGGAGGGAGGGAGGGAGGGAGGGAGGGAGGGAGGGAGGGAGGGAGGGAGGGAACAAGGCACGTGAGAATGAGAACCACCAGTGCTGTCAGCACGCACACTCCACCTTCCATGGCACCACCACCCTTGCCATTCTAGAGGCAATTTCAAGATTCATTCACACCCAAAGAGGAAACCCTTTCACAAGCACCTACAACACTCATTCCGTACCTTCTTATGGCTAACTGACGGCCCCTGCTTGCCCCCCTTCGAAGCGACAGGAGTAGCCGTTGCAGCAGCAGCAGCAGCAGCAGCAGGCGAAGTACCAGCCCCTCTAGCCGAGCCCTTGGCCACTTTCCTCCCTCCCCCTGTCCCTGCTCCCTTCCCTCCCTTACCAACAGGTGTTCCCTCTTCCCCCCCTTCCTCGTCATCCCCCTCTCCTGCCTCCTCCTCCTCCTCTTCCCCGCCCTCTGCTTCCTCCTCCTCCTCTTCCTCTGCTGCTCCCTCCCGTCCTCCTCCTTTCCTCCCCCCCTTCCGCCTATCCGCACTTCTCCCCCTCCCAGGAGTAACCTCCTCAACAGCCACTTTAGCTTTCTTCCTTGCTGATTCAGCAGCACCCGAGTCCTTCCTCCCCTTCCGCCCCCTCGCCTCCCCCACAACAGTAACACCTTCCTCAGATAACACCTTCACCACGTCATCCTCCTCCTCCTCCTCCTCCTCCTCGCCCTCCTCGTCCCCTCCCACCTCCTCTGCCTCTTCATCCTCCTCCTCGTCTCCCTCCTCCTCCTCTCCTCGCCCATCCAGCCTCCTTCTAGTAGTGTTTCTTGAAGGTCTCTTGCCCTTTCCGCCGGCACGGGCAGCCTAGAAAGAAAAACGGTTACAAACGGGAAGAGGGGAAAGGACAGGAGGGAGAGAAGGGAGAGATAGGCACCAAGAAAAAGGAGCCTCAGAAAGCAGTTGAAAAAAAAAAGGGGGGTGTAAGGTCCCAGAACACAGTCACGCAGGATGGCTGCTGCTGCATGCGGTGAACAAGGTAGAAAGCTACTGCGTACGTACCAGGGAAATGAGTGAGCAGAGCGTATAAAACGGCTGAGCAAGCAAGCCCTACGCGCAACTCCCCAATGTGTGACCCAGCAACCCTTGAGCACAGAACGCTCACAGAGCACTACAGCCGCCCCCTCCCCCAACCATCCCGCACTCAACCCCCCCCCCCCCCCCCCCCCCCCCCCCCCTTCCTCCAGTTCCTTTCCCCCTTGGACCACTCACATGGTGCCGTGCTTTGGCGGCAGGAGACGCAAGGGGCTTCACTTGCACCACGAACTGGGTCTCTAGATCAGACAGGCAGGCCGGGAGATTGCTGCCGTCCGGCTGTGGGTGGGAGAGAGAGGGGTGGGAAGGGTAGCAAGAGAGGGCTTAGGAGTCTCCGAAGCAAGGGGATTCACTTGCACCACGAGCGGGGTCTTTCGATCAGACAGGCAGGCCGGGAGATTGCTGCCATCGGGCAGTGGGGAGAGAGGGGACGGGGTGGGGCGGCAAGAGAGGAAAGAGGGGTGGTTGCGAAGGGATGAATGCAGGAATTTCAAAGTGAGGGGAGGGAGTGAGAGGAGTGAGCGATGGGAGCGAGAAGAGGGAGGGGGGGAAAGCGAGGAGTGGAGGAGGGAGTGTGAAATAAGGGGAGGGAGGGAGGGATGAGGAAGAGTGAAAGGAGTGAAGAATGAGGGGAGCGAACACGCAAAGAAGAGGCAAGGAGCAGGCACTAACCAGGGGAGTGAGAGGCAGCTCGGAACCAGGTGTAGGCTCAGGGGTCTCAGTCTCCCCAGCTCCATTCTCCGCCCCTGCTGCCCCTCCTGCTGCTGCTGCTCCTGCTGCCGCTGGTGTGATTGCCCCAGCAGCAGAAGCAACAGCAGCAGCAGCAGGGGGCGGCAATGTAGCAGGGCTTTTGAAGAGTGCAGAGGGAAGAGGCACTGGTTGTGAGTAGGTGAGCGTGAAGGGACGAGTCCTGCCAATGGCCTTGGCTATCGCAATGCCAATGTCGCACACTGCTGCTAGTTTCTGGTAAGCAGGGAAAATCGAGAGGGTGGGCAGACGGGAGGGGGGAGCGGGGGAAGGGGTGGGGGATGGATAGGGGCAGGAAGGGGAATGTTAAGGGGGAAGAGAAGAAGGAAATGAAACAGCAGTTCAAACAAAAGCGTGGGACATTTGTCACACCAGGAGGAGGTGGTTGGCTGACAAAGTTGGACAGGGAGAAGCAAAGGTGGCAGGAGGAGAAAGCAAGAAGAGCTGGGGAGAAGAACGGCATGGGATGAAGGAACCGAAACAGCAGTTCACACCAGGGGGTGGTGGTTGGCTGACGAAGTCGGATGAGGAGAAGCAAGGGCGGCAGGAGGAGAAAGCAAGAGGAGCTGTGGAGAAGGACTAAGGGCAGGCCAGTCAAAGAGAAAAGGCTTTGGACGGTGGTTAACCACCACACCACACAATTAACCCTCCACTCACCTCCTGTACAACGCTGTTGGCAACCGGGCTAGCCGCCTTGATGGTCCGCAGCACTGCCAGCACGGCTCTCAGGTTATCCACCTCCTCCTTCCCAACGCCCCCCGCCTCCCTAGCCCCACCTGTCCTTTGAGTCGTGGTTACAAGAGAAACATGCCACTCACTCACCTCCTGTGCAACGCTGTTGGCAACAGGGCTGGCCGCCTTGATGGTCCGCAGCACTGCCAGCACCGCTCCCAGGTTATCCACCTCCTCCTGCCCCGCGCCCCTGTCCTTGCGCGATGCCCCTGCACCTGCCTCCGCGCCCCTCCCCCATTCCGCGCCCCCCTGCAGCAATGCCCTCAGCAGGTACTCCAGAGGACTGGGGGAAGGGGGGGTGTAAGGGGAGCGGGGTGGGGGGGGAGGGGGGGAGGGGGGGGAGTCAGAGGGGAGATGCCAGGGGGAAGGTGGAAGGGAGGGGGTTGTGCGTCAAAGGGAAGAGGAGAAGGGAGAGTGTTGAAGTGAGGCAAGAATTGAGGGTGGGTGGAGAGCGGAACACGGAGAGGGGGGGTGGGTGGGGCGGGGAGGGTGAAAGTGGGGGTGGGAGAGAGGCGAGAGCAGGAAAGAGACGAAGAAAGCAAGTTAAATTAACGAATTCACTCACCATCTAAAACCACCATACGAAACCCCAGCCACAACCCACCCCACTCTGCCCTCATGTGCCCCCACCCACCCACCCATCCTCCCACCCCCACCCTCTCCCTCTCTCCCTCCTTCCCTCTCTCCCGCCCTCCCTCCCTCCCTCTCTCCCGTACCGCTGAATCGGCTCATAGTCCTCGGCCTTGGCGCTGCCAGCATCAACCTTCGGCCACTGTGGGTGCTGGGCCAGCACATATGCCAGATACACCAGCACATACTCGGGGTGCTCTATAATCGTCGATAACCCTGCAACACCAGCACCCCCAGCACCAGCAGCAGCAGAATCAGCAGCACCGGCCGCACTCGTACCAGCCTCTTTGCCCCCCGCTTCCTCTCCCCCTCCCTTCACCTCCCACGCCTGCCCCTCCCGCTTCACTTCCCTGTCCTTCCCATCGTCCCCAGTCAACCCTGCTACGGATCTCCTAGCAGCCGCCCTCCTAGTAACGTCCACGTATTCTGCTAGGTACCTACGGACCTGAACAGAGGCAAAGAGTGAAGAAAAGGTACACAGCTGGGAAGGGAGTAAAGATCTCTGGAAAAGGCAACCAGCAAAAGGAGGAAGCAAAAACCTGCCACTCCTTCACCCTTCTCTTCCTCACGTTCCCCCCTTCACCCTTGCTCCGACTCCCCTTCCTCCTCTCGTCCCCCCCTTATCTCCCCCGCTTATCCAGGCCCCCTCATTACCTCACCCTCTACCCCCCTTTTCCTCCTCACCTCCGTCTGCTGCTCGCTGTCCGTCTCCTCTGCAGCCGCCAGCAGCGGCAGCGCAGCAGCATAGCGCATGGGCACAGAGCGATCCTTGAGGCCTGCTATCAGCTTGCTAGCAAAGCCCCTCCTCACCAGAGGCACCGCATCCTGAAGGCACAAGCACATGGTGGGAGGAGGGAGGGTGAGGAGAGAAGAGGAGGGGAGGGGGAAGGGGGAAGGAGAGGAGGGGAGGACGGGAAAAGTTGTGGACAAAAAAATCAATCCAAGCAGCAGGTGAGGGGAGGGGAGGGGAGGGGGAGGGGAGGGGGCGGGGAGGGGCGGGGAGGGGAGGAGAGGAGAGGACAAGGGAGATAAGGTAGTGTGGAAAGGCCGAAAGGCGGAAAGACTCTGAATTGCCTTGGCCCGACAGCCACCCCACCCCGGGACTTACAAGCGAGGAGAAGAGTGCGAGGCGGTAGAGGTCTGGAGTGATCTGTGAGTTGAGCTGTGTGGCGAGGTTAAGCACTGACTTGGCTGCTGTCACCCGCAGCAGCGCACCTTCTTGACTCAAGAAGTGGTCACCCTGGGACTTACGAGGGAGGAGAAGAGTGCGAGGCGGTAGAGGTCGGGAGTGATCTGTGAGTCGAGCTGTGTGGCGAGGTTCACAACTGACTTGGCTGCTGTCAGCCGCAGCAGCGCTTTGTCCGCGTCCCTGCAATGACAATGACGGGTTCACAGACGATGGGTGAGTTGGTAAATTCAAATCACAGAGGGAACGGCGGGTTTGCATGAGCCAAGAGTGCTGGTGCATGTGCACGTGCGCGCATGTGTGCGCGAGCGTATACCTCGCCCCGAGGCTGTCGCTTGCCCAGCAGAGAACACCTAGCCGCAGGTTGGGTGGGTGCGTGCGGCATGTGTGCGAACGGGTACGTGCATGCATCTAGAGGGCAGTGCAGTGTAGAGCAGAGCAGAGAACTCACGAGGACTGCACGTCGTCATACGCCTCGCCGCAAGGCAGCAGCTTCCCCAGCACAGCCTGCAGCATGCGTGGATTGGTGCGCGTATGCGTGAACCTAGAGAAGCACAGCGCAGCATGGGGCACTCACGAGGACAGCACGTCTTCATACACCTCGCCCCGAGGCAGCAGCTTCCCCAGCACGGCCTGCAGTCCCGTCGACTGCTTCTTGGTGCTCCCCGGAGTCGCCTGCCGTGGCAGAAACGTCTTCACCAGCATCTTGATGCCGCGCGACTGGTGGAGGAGAGCAAGGCAAGGGAGAGGGGGGGGGGGGGGGGGGGGGGGGGGGGGGGGGTAAAGGGTGAGAAGAGGGGTGCAATGGGTTTTCTTGCATGGTGAGAAGAGAACACCTTCACTTCACCAGTATCTGAATGACGAACAGGAGAGTGGGAGAGAACACAGGGGAGAGAGGGAGGGGGAAAGTGCAAAGATTATAGGTGTGCAAAGAGCAGGAAAGCAAAGGAAGACTAGAAGAAGAGGAAAGGCATGTGTGCCTGCCTATGCGGGCAGTTGCACAAATACACACACTGGAACACAGCATTCGCATGACACCCGCAGATACCCACACAAACACACACACGCACATGAAGACATTGCATTGGACACAGTGCATACAATGCAACCCTGCGCTCTCACCTTGAGTGTTGCCATAGCCGAAGGCGTGTCAAGCGCTGCTGCTGCACTCGCCTGGGCTAAAAAACTCTGAAACCGTGACAGAAAAAAATGGGGTGTCATGGAGAACCAACACAAGGCACAGCATAGGCACAGGGCAGGAAGACGGGAGGGAAATGCAGTAAGGCTCAAAGAATTGACTTTTACGGAAAAAAAAAAAAAACAAAACAAAAAAAACATAGCCCAGGGTGTACGAACAGCACCAGGCGCACAGCATGCAACAAACCAAACAAGCAAACAAACACCGCACAATCAGCACACCCGTACCACAGCCACACCACACCACAACCAACCCACCCTCAACACCCAGGCTGGGCAGAGCAGCTTGCGCACGACAAACTTGATTATGGTGTCCTCATGAGGCTGCGATACATCCACCCACGCTCTCTCCTTCTACATGTACGTGTCCTAGAATTTAGCACACGCCCATACACGCACCGCACCACATTGCACCCAACCCCACCCAACCCAACCCCCAACACTTACGAAGCGCCGCAGCAGCTTGCGAATGGCAAACTTGATGATTTCGTCCTCATGCGGCTGCCACCCGTCCTGACTCCTCTGCACCTGCAGCTGCTCCCTCCTTTACTTGCCACACACCCACACCACACGACACCGCACTGCAATGCACTGCATCGCACCCAACCCACGCCACTCACGGAGTACCGCAGCAGCTTGCGAACAACAAACTTGATGATTTCGTCCTCATGCGGCTGCCACACGTCCGGGGCGAAGCGCGCAATCTCCCCCAGCGCATCCAGGCTCCTCTGCAGCTTCTGCTCACCCGCACTCTCCAGCGACTTGAACGCCCTCTGATAGCCGGCAATGATAGTGATGGTGATGGTGATGGTAATGATGATGGTGATGGTGATGGTGATGGCGATGGTGATGGTGATGGTGATGGTGATGGTGATGGTGATGGTGATGGTGATGGTGATGGTGATGGTGATGGTGATTGTGTGGCAGATTTGTTGTTGGGGGAGGAGGAATGAGAGAGTGGTGCATTTTATGTATCACAAAAAAAACCCTCGCACCTCGTAAATAAATGAGAATGTGGAAAAACTTCCAAGTCGACTCACAAGCAACGTCGATCCCCACCTCCCCCTCCCCCTCCCCCCTCCCCCTCCCCCGCTTCGTGTGTATCACAAACTTCTTCGTACCTCATAGATGAACGAGAGTGTGGAGCGGCCTCTAGCGCCACAAATGGAGGCAGAGAGTGCGATCTGAAAGCTCCATCTACCCCTCACCCCCCCTTCCTCCCGCGTGTATTAAAAAAACCTTCGTACCTCGTAGATGAACGAGAGTGTGGAGCGGCCTCTAGCGCCATAGATGGAGGCAGAGAGGGCAGCCACTGCTGCCTTGATCTGGTGCCTCGTGCCGTCCATAGCCAGCTGCTTCAGACACTCCATGGTGTCGCTGGGAGGAAGGAGGGACGAAAACGGGAGAGAGAAATCAGAAATTGGTAAAAGTCAAAGTGCAAAATAACTGATTCCGTGCCTCGTACCGTCGATACCAGCTGCTTCAGACACTCCATGGTGTCGCTGGGAAGTGGGAGGATGGAGGGGGGTTGGTCGACGGGAGTGGTGGGAGGGGTGACAAAGAGATGGAAAAGTGGGAACAGGTATTGATGAAACCGTCCCAGAACACTTACCACCTAAAAATCCCCCTCTCTTCCCCCAATCCCTCCCTCCATCCCTCGTAAACCCCCCCTGCTCCTCACTTCTCACCCCTCGCCATCCCTTACTTCCTGCCCCAACAATCTTACTTGGTGGTCTGCGAATCCGGAGGCTGGTTGCTGAGAGCAGCAGCATGGGGGGAGGCGGAGTCCGGGGAGAAGGAGAGCTTGGAAAGCAGCTTCGCCGCGCCCTCCTTGAGCTCCGGATGGTGCGCCCTCAGGAGAGGAAGCAGGCTGGAGAAGCACCCCTCAAAAAGCGCAGGGAAGTGTGCTGCCACCTCCTGGGATGCGGTGTGATGCGATGCATCACATTAGGAAAAGCAGGGAAGAAAGGGACGGAGAGACGTGGGGGGAGGGGGGGGGGGGGGGGGGGGGGGGGGGGGGGGGGGTAGGGGGGGGGGAATGGAATGAGGGGGAACGATACACCGTGCGCAAACAACGCCAGGGGGAGAGCAGCTTTGCAGCGCCCTCCCTCCTTGAGCTCGGGGTGGTGCGCCCTCAGCAGCGGCAGCAGGCTGGAGAAGCAAGCACCGTACGAAGAGTGCTGGGAAGTGCGCTGCCACTTCCTGGGATTCGGTGTAATGCGGTGTGATGTGGTGTGAAGCGACGCGATTGAGGCAATGTGATGCGACGCACAACATTGAGGGAAGCGCGGAAGAAAGGAACAGGAGAAGCGGAGGGGTGGGAATGAGGTGGGGGCGGGTTCGGGTGGAAAAAATAAGTGAGGGAGGGGGGTGCGATACCCAACCAACTCCACGCACACAACACAAACACCGGACAAGCAGCACACGCATCACTAGGCATCACCAGCCAACACAAGGCAACACCAGGTAAACGCCAGGCAAACATTGGGCAGCAGCAGCACCAGCACGCACCACGAGCAGCCGAATGGCAGCAGTCACAAACAACCGGAACCGCCGCGCCAGCACCTGCTGCTGCCTCACAGACAGTCCCGCCGCACCCGACCTCTTCCCACCCACCACGCCCCCTCCCTTCTCCCCCTCCCCACCACCCCCGCCCGCCCCCTCCCCCTCCTCCTCCTTCCCTTTCCCGTCCCACCTCTTCCCACCCACCACGCCCCCCCCCTTCTCCCCTCCCTCCTTCTCCTCATCCTCCACGCCCTCAGGATTAACCTTGGCTGCTGCTTCCTCCCCTTTCGCTGCAATGGCACCAAGGATAGCCAGGACGTGTTCGGTGTGTTGCCGACCAAAGAGGTGAAAGGAGAGCTTGAAGGAGAGGTCCTTCACCAGGTCGTACAGGTGTGACCTCTCGCCTATGCGCTTCAGCAACTCCTCCTGTATGGCGCAGATCAGGGGGAAGAGGGGGGAGGAGAAAGGGCGGGCGGACGGGTGGCAGGAAGGTGGTGGAGGGGGAAGAGATGGAAGGAAAGCTTGAAGGAGAGGTCTTTGACCAGGTCGGACAGGTGTGACCGCTCACCTATGCGATTTAAGTGTTCCCCCTGTACATTGGGGGAAGGGGGAAAGTGGGAAGGGGGCTGGAGGGGGAGTGAGGTGAGACCATGTGGCGAGTGGTGGGAGAGAGCAGAGGAGAGTGGGGTGGTGGGGAGAGAGGGAGCGGGGAACGGGTGAAAGTTGCGTGTCGTCCACACTATAACCTAGTTCTAACATGCAACAAGGCACTGACTGACACAGCGCTTACTTACCCGCATGACCTGTATCGACGTGAGGGTTTCAGCAGGGGACGTGAGGGTTTTAACAGGGGACATGAGGGACCAGAGCAGCCGGGCCAGAACATATGGTTATCCTTCAGTGCAGCGACTTTTGAGTCGACTCAAAATGAGGAGGCTTTTGAGTCAACTCAAAATGAGGCGGCTTTTGAGTCGACTCAAAATGAGGCGGCTTTTGAGTCAACTCAAAATGAGGCGGCTTTTGAGTCGACTCAGAACTTACCCGCATGGCCTGTATCGACGTGAGCGTTTCAGCAGGGGACATGAGGGACGAGAGCAGCCGAAACACATTATTATCCTTTAGCACAGCCAGCTTTGCAAAATGCTCCTCTGCCTTTGCGACATCCAGAAACGCTGCCTGTGCCATGCGCCTCCCTGTCGCCACCATCCTCTCTTGCAGCACCTTCCTCTCAGCTTCAATCGCCACCAGACCCCCATCCCCTCCTCCTCCTCCTCCTCCCGCTTTCCCTGCGTCTTCCCCGCCTTCCCCATCAGTCCCTGGTTCTGCTTTCTCCTTGCCCTTCCCCTTGCTCTTCTCTGCCTCCTCTCCAGCCTTTTTCCGCTCACGAGCCTCTAGGTCCTTGAGCTCTTGGCGTGTTCGCAGGAACGTTGCCATGCTGGATTGAAGGCTGGTCAAAGAGAGGAAGGGAAAGAGAAAAAGGGCTCAGGGTTCGGGGATTTTTAGGCGCCTGAAAGAGCGTCCAGGTCCTTGAGCTCTTGGGCATGTTCGCAGAAACGTTGCCATGCTGGATTGAAGGCTGGTCGCGGAGAGTAAGGGAAAGAGGAAAACACAGGGTTTGGGGTTTGGGTTTAGCCGCCTGAACAAGCGCCCAGGTCCTTGAGCTCATGGCGTAGTCGCAGGAACGTGTCCATGATGGATTGAAGGCTGGTCAGGGAGAGGAAGGGAAAGAGGAAAACACAGGGTTCTGGGTTTAAGGTTGGGAGGAGAATGGACAGGGGGAACAGTGGTGAACGACAGAGGAGGGAGGAGCGCAGGGGCAGCATCTAACAAGGGATGAACAAGGGATGTAAGCTGTGCGAGAAGGCCTTGAGGTCGTTAATGTCAAAGGAGAGGAAGAGAGGGGGAGTGAGTGCAAGGGCGGGGAGGTGAGAACGAAGGGGAGGGAGCGGAGTGCAAGGGGGGGAGGTGTGAGCAAGTTTGGAAAGGGGGGCGGGGAAGACAAAAGGGGCCAGGGGAGACAGAGTCACATCTGCTTGTTCTGCAGGATGTGCGAGAAGGCCTTGAGGTTGTTGACGTCAAATGGGCGGACGAGAGGGATGGCAGGCAATGCGGGGAGGGTGGAACTGAGTAGAAGGGGGGGGCGTTAAAGAGGGCGAGGCAGGTTGAACTCACATCTGCTTGTTCTGCAGGATGTGCGAGAAGGCCTTGAGGTCGTTGACATCAAAGGAGTGGAAGAGGTACACCCAGTGGAACGCCCTCCGCTCCACAGGGAGTGTCTTGGGGAAGAGCTCCTCGTCAAAGAACACGTCCATGGTCTGAGGCCTGCATGGCAAACAGAGGAGTGGAGTGGAGTGGAATGGGGTGGGGTGGAATGGGGTGGGGTGGGGTGGGGTGGGGTGGGGTGGGGTGGGGTGGCAAGAGAACAGTCCACGGATTCTTGAGGTGCCGAAAGCTCCAGAGGCAGAGCCTTGAGGAAGAGCCCCTCGTCAAAGAACACGTCCATGGTCTGAGGCCTGCACATGGCAAGGCAGACAGAGGGGTGGAGTGGGGTGGGGTGGGATGGTGGGGGGTGGAGTGAGGCGCGGTGGCAAGAAAAGAGCACAAGGACGATGGGGTGGAGGGGGGGAGCTAAAGACGACTCAGCACAGGCCCACGATGGGAAACAGACCAGACTACACTAGCAAGGCACCAATCTCGCCAGCCACCAACAGCAGCACTCATTTGAAGTCCTTGCAGTCCTCCTTGAAATAGCAGCACTTGATCATCCGACTCGGCCCCTCTGCACATACCCTTGAGGAGAAAACGACCAAGACAGAATGCACAAGCAAGACTCTAATATAACTAGCCACCAGCACTCCAGCAGCACTCACTTGAAGTCCTTGCAATCTTTGAAATAGCAGCACTTGATCATCCGACTCGGCAGCCACTCAAACCTCTCCACCTCCTCCTCCTCCTCCTTATCCCCCTCCACACCATTCCCCACCCCTCCCCCTTCCCCTCCCGCTCCCGCCTCCTCTCCCTTCCCCCTTTTCCCTCCCTCAGCCTCCTCCCTCTCCTTATCCCGCACCGCGCACCGCAAGCAGTGCTCCCTATAAACCCTCGCAATCTCTGGTAATGTGGATCGTCGCACAGGGACCTTCTTGTCCCTCAGTCTGTCCGCCACTGCTCGCAGGTCCGCCACGGGCAGCAGCTTGGGGCTGCGGGCGAACACAGAGCAGAGGGCCTTCACCGCCGCCTGCCTCACCCGCTCCTCCACGTCTAGCAGTCGCTCCAGCAGCATGTCTGCCGGGCACGGGGTGAAGTGGACGGGTGGGGGTGGGGGTGGGGGTGGGGGGAGCAGGAAAGGGGGGTGGGGGGAGCAGGAAAGGGGGGCGGGGGGGGAGGGGGGGGGAATTGGGGGTTAAAAGGCGAATGGGGATGCTGCTGGGAAGAGGGAGGAGCAAAAAAACGAGAAGGGGAGAAAAACAGGGAAATTTTTTGCAGAAACGGATGCACCAGGAAAAGCTGGGATCGTGAAAGGAGGGAGCGAATGCGGGGAGAGTTCATTTAGGAAGAAACGCAAAGGTCAGCGGTTAACTTCCATGTTCACCCTCTGCTCCAGCTAATAAAGCCCGAACCTTACCATCCTAACCCTAAAACTCTCAAACCCCTTCCATTCCGTTCATCCCTAAACCCTAACCTCCTATCCTACCCCCCCCCCCATCCTCCTCTCCTTTCCATGACTCACTCCTTATTTCTGACATATCCACAGCCCTGCCGCCAACGCCAACACCTGCTCCCACCCCGGCACCAACAGCCCCAGCACCACCAGCACCAGCCACAGCCCCTGCCACCCCAGGCGCCTTGTTGAAATACAAGGCCACAAGCGCGTTCCCCCCAGCCCCTGCCGCGGCCCCTGCTGTCCCACCACCACCACCAGCTGAACCAGCACCAGCAGCAGCACCGGAAGTGGAACCAGCAGCCGGGAGGAGGAAGGATTCGAGGAGGTTGACGAGCTTGACGCGCACGTCGACGGACTTGTCGTTGGAGCGGCGCAGGAACTCGGCAAAGAGCTGCCTGTAGTGGTGCTGCAGCGTGGCCGCGTCCACCATCAGCAGCTTCCCCACCAGTGACACCGCCCTCAGCCGCACCTCGGGATCCTCATGCTGTGAGGGAGACGGGGCGAGGGGGAGCGTGTGGTAGAAGGGGAAGGAAGGGGCGGGAGGGGGGTGAGAACGGGGGGGTGTGGCTGCGTCCACCATGAGCAGCCGCCCCAACAGCGACACCGCCCTCAGGCACACCTCGGGATCCTTGTGCTGTGAGCCTGCAGAACAAGGGAAAAGGGGAGGGTACAAACGCATGCTCATGCCATGCCATGACATGTCGTGCAATGCAATGCAAGGCCATGCGATACCATGCCACGCCACGCCATGCCATGCCATGCCAAGCCACAGAAGTGTATGTGCAAGCGAGGCCATACATCCACCGCTCCTTACCACGAGCTCCTCATGTATCTGCGGCAGTGCCATCTCCAGCGCACTCGGCGCCACTCGAAACACCTCCAGAATCACATCGTGGTAGCGCTTGCACGCCAGACTACCGCCGCCGCCACCGCCGCCCTTGCTCTCCCCGTCCTTGCCTCCAGCAGCGGCCACAGTGCGGATTGCGGGGGCGAGGTGCCTCTGGAGCACTGGCTGCAGCCGCTCCGCGGATCGCTTCACCACTGCTGCTGCAAGCTGGTACGCGTATGGAGAGGCCTCCTGGTGGGTGGAATGACACAGAACAAAACAGACTTGGTGATGTGAGTGACGTAATCTTGCTAGGAAGGCATCGCGTAATCTGCTAGTGACTAGTGACAGCTGGTATGAGTACGGAGACGCCTCCTGGTGGATGGTGACGACGGGAACACACAGCCTTTGTGTGTTTCGCATTTTGCTGGAAAGCAATAGCATCATCTAGTGCTGCTCATTTTGTTTCGAATGTATATTGTTGTACCTTTTCCGGAGAGAGCATGTTGCAGATAATGGCGTCCAGTAGCTGTGGGGAGACGTCCTCACTCTCATCGATGACTGATGCCATCACCTCCACCATCGCCATCTGCACATGCAGTGCATGCTCAGGGCTGCACGCACACACAGATATCCGCAAACACACACACACACACCCACACACACACAGACACACGCGCACATAGGAGAAGGCGTCGGGAGGGGGAGCGCACAGGGGCGTGCAGACAGGAAAGGAGAAGACACTGACTGGACGCAAGAAATCGCAAGGGGCTGGCCAATGCAGCACCGCAAGCACAAGGGGGCTGCAGCGTGGGTGTACAAACGCACACAGGCAACACAGGCATGCACACACACATGCACGCACCACACGGCACACACGCATGTACATACACAAAACTAGCACAAGCATGGACGCACACGCGTGTGCACACACACACACACACACACACACACACACACACACACACACACACACACACACACACCATTGCACACGCATGCACACGCACACAAACAAGCACACACGCGCACACAGAGAGAGCCACACGCACCGCACGACGCGGAAGAAGGTCTCGAACATGTGCAGGATGAGGTCGGTGCACTCGAGGTCCAGCATGATGATGCACGTCTTCACCCGCGCCATCGACTCCAGAATCGCCACCCGCCGCGGGTACAGCGCGTTGCTCGTGTCCTCTAGGCCCTCGTACGTGCCCACCAGCAGTTCAAACACGCTCTGCAGGGAGAAGACGCATGGAGGGAGAAAGTGGTGGGAACGAACAAGAACGAGACAAACATCAGCTCAGCAGGAGTTGCTCGTGTCCTCTAGGCCCTCGTACGTGCCCACCAGCAGCTCAAACACGCTCTGCAGGGAGAAGACGCACGGAGGGGAAAGAGGAGAGGGAGTGCTCAGCCGTGAGGAGAAAGGCTATTGCCATGTCCCCTGAACCCCGTGAGTGCTCAGCCGCAGCTCAAACACACGCTGAGGGGAAAGCGGAGAGGGAGGAGCGAGGGAGGGGCACGGAGTAAGGGGGGCGACGAGGGAACAAGGACAGCAGGATAAGGAGTTGACAACAAAGGGACATGGGGAGGACGTCAGCAGAGGCGTGTACGATCAGCGAGGGAAACGCGCGTGAATAACGATAGGGTAGCGGGACGGGGGATAGGGGGGTTTATGGGCGGATGGCGGAGGTGGCACGAGAGAGCGGGGATGTGAATGAACGGGGTGCAAGAAAGCATATGTATACCAGCGCCGCATATAAGTCAAACGCGTAGTGTCACGACTCACACACACCCAACACAAGCGTTGCATGTTCCAACATGCAAAACGATCCATGACGGGGCCATTTTATTCGCACATACAAGGTAACATCCAAGCAACGAACTACATTCAAAAAAACCTTTAAAATCGTGCAAAGCGATTATCTAGACGCCGTACAGAGAAGAACGGACGTTCAGTTCAGGGTAGAACTGGTGACGCGCTGAGCGGCCATAATTTTAGCCGCCACGCCTTGGTAATTATTCCTTTGCTTCAACTTCCCTCACACCTTCCCTCATACAATCACACCCCCAACGGAACCGCGTGCGCGCATAGCATACCCACGCACAGTCACATACCGACACAGTCCTGGGCGATACAGCAACAGTCAATCACAAGCGCCAAACGCGCGTCTTGTCGGAAGGTTAGGGAGCGAAGATGCATAGCACCGTTTGAGGCGCCTAGAAGAAAAAATAGTAAGGTGCTTCCGAATGTTAACTTTATTTTTTCAAAGTGGAACACACAGAAAAATACAGCCTCAAACTGTTTACCTTAAGCGGCGCGTCGTCGTACGGCGGGTCGGGCGCGAACACGCGCAGCACCTCGCTCACGCAGAACGCGAGGAGCACGCGCACGTCGCGGTCGCGATGGCGCATGAAGTTGGGCACCGCCAGCGCTTGCGCCAACGGGCGCAACGCCGACATCGTCGGCTCTGGCGCGGACTGCTGTAGCTCCTCCAGCACGCTCGCCGCGGACTAAAGGGGGGAAAGCGGGGGGGGGAGGGGGGGGGGGGGGGGGGGGGGGGGGATACGATATATCAAGAAGAACGGTGATAAGCGAAAGAGAGTGCGACCAACGAAACCAACGAAAACATTGGTGGTTGTCGTAAGCGTGGCGCATGAATCTTCTGAGCTCTCCTCGCGTTTCCAAATAACACGTGAAAGAAGCCGTAAGGACATTCTTGATGAGCCAAGAAGGATTACTAAGGATCACTATACTTTAAGGATTTGAAAGTATTACAAAAAGCTGCAAGTCTACGAAATTGTATATTCACAATAGCGCGACTTGTCGACAGGGGCTTGCTTCCAGCAGAACCCAATCAATTTTCAAATTACGTCTGCCTCTTAACAGAGGCAAAATGCAGGAGAGAAGTGCAATCGACTCTCGACTCTCCTGATAAATCGGTGATTGCTGGCTAAGATATGCATGACCATCGAATCACTCGCATACGAATGATAGAAGATAAGCAGTAGTGTTTTATTAAGATAATTTTCCTCGCCAAAAAAATAAAAAAGGAAACAGGGATGTTAATGAAACAGGCGGCGGGGGGAACGACGAATAATACGAAGCAAGAGAAACCGAGACCCATAAGAAGCGATGCACGAACGAATGCAAAATGTGGAATAACGGGAAGCAGGAGCGGAAATCTCACCTTAAGGGTCTTATTTAGTACGTCTTTAGACAGCGATGACGCGGACAACTTTTTGGTAATGTCATTTATTACGGCCACTTGATCTGGCTTACGAGCCATCTTCGCCGCAATCACGGTTGAACCGTGGCGAAGCGTGAAAGGCGTGGGTTACAGTTACGGCGACAAAAAGGAAATTTACGGCGGAAACAGGTGCCTAATCGCTCAGCAGGTAAGTGTACGAAGCGGATGGGAGGTTTAGGAAATTCTAGGAAGCTAGCTCCTTCGACGCATCGAGCAAGGTTTATCGAGGGAAACTCGTAATTAATGAGTCACCGATGAACGAGGAGCAGCGGAGGTGACGAGATCGGAAAGTGTTAATGGAAGAAAAAATCATTAGCTATGTGGAAAAGTATGATTCAGAAAATCTAACGCTGGCAATACGTTTATGCCTAAAGTATACGACAAGGAAGCCTACGTGCAGTATAATAAGCGGGAATAATTTCCAGGGAGACTAAATCAGTAGCCTGAGAATTTGTTGACAAAGCCGAAAAACGCAGCCATGGTTGCTGCTGCATCAGGGCTTGCACGCAGCAAAACAGAGCAATCCCAAGGCGCTCGACGATTGAACTGGGTCTGATCTTTTTGAAGGCAACTGCAGCAGCACCACCAAGAGCAGCAGCAGCACGAGTTGAGTTGATTGGGTTGGGAGCAAAATGTGTTCCCTAGGGCACGCACGCCCAGCACAGGCATTTGTCACGGGGAATTCCGGCTATCATTCTTCGTGGCACATGGTGGTTCCATACGGTGTAACACGGTTTACTGAGTTTCCCTGTCTAGTACCGTGAAGAAACGGATTAGACCGCAAAGGGTGTCCAACTGTCGCAAAAGTACTCAGCTCAGTCAGCAAGGCCCTCGCGAATTTGAGCACGGCGGAACTCGCCCAGAATTCTGCGCGCAGAAGCTCCCCCTGTACTACACATACAGAAGCCAGCCTGCCTGTGACACTGTAAGCCCCGCAAGCAAAGCAAGTCCATGTTGGGCTGGCTTGGCTGGGCACGGGAAATTGTACTGTATTTGACTCCGTGCGTTGCCGCGAATGGGTTTGATAAAGCTCAATACCTTTAAAAAGCTCCGACATACAGCAAAACCGTTTGAAACCATGAACCTGTACCAAGGTGAACTTCCGTGTTTCCAGAAGGAGATAGTCCAGAGAGGCGCAATAAGTGGATGCTGCAGCCGGACTGGCGGAACCTTTGGGCGGGATTTTGCTGTGCCAGGGAAGACCAAAGATCAGATTGCTTCTGTCAGTGGCAGTACGTTGTCAATGGGTTCATTTGGGTTCAAAACTCCTGACCAACTTTCTACTGTGATAGTGAGTGTTATTAGTTGTTAATGAATAGAGTCCGCAAAAGTCAACACGAATAATTGATTACAATCACTTAGAAAACTGTTGGGAATATAAACGCATGACTTAGTGCGTTTCTGTAGTATCGAACCTCACCCGATACTGAAGCACAACAAAAAAGGTACGAAGTCGAAAGGGCGCGTACCACATCAAACCGCAATAGGAGGTTGCGAACTGTAACCGCCTGGAGGTTACGTAACAGCAAGCGACGCTTCAGTGAACAGTAACCGCCTCGATAGTCGAAGCGTTACGCGTCTCGATAAACACAACCGCTTCCTGTAATCTATCTTTCCTATATATTCCTGTATGCTCTTTGCTTTAATCAATTACTTGTTCTCACACACCAGCACAAGTACATTCACTCAAGTCTTCCGCTGTGCTACTCTAGCACCTACTAGCCTATTCTCTGCAAAGATCCTAAGGCTGAAATTCTCAGCCCAACAAAAACGATGAAGCAAAGCATTGATATAGATAATGGCCTGAAGAGGTTGGGTGTTAATCCGGGGTTGTAGAGTCCGAACGCGACGAGGGTTAACGATCGGGAGGCGAGATCGTTAGACATAGCCTGGAGTACTGAGAGCTGCAGTCGTACACGTACAATGAGACTCAGTAAGGAATTAGGAAAAAGAATCACCATGAGCGAGCTAATTTATACCAATCTGAAGAAATAAGTGACATCCATAATCTAATTTGGCATCATAATAAGGAATTAGTATGAAATCGGTTAAGATAGCACTAGATCGAAAAGAGATACACCCTGATGGAGAAAAAAAAAAAGCTACATAATGAATCATAACGCGCAACAGAATGGGTTGTGCTGCGAAATGCTGACAACGAGGTCCAACTGATTTCGATGCGTCGGTTGACTCTACCATATATAGGTGGAGAAGGTATGGCAAAACATGGTGTGCAATGCAACGAGCGTCGATGTCAGTTACGACTAACATCGATCAAGGCCCGAAGCACAGTATTTCGAGCCAATTGAAAAAAAAAAGCTTGACAGCCCCCAGTATCCCCTCCATCAAGAAGCCTTCCGTTTAGGACAACATGTGCACATAGTTGCCGAGCACAAGGGTTCTGGATTTCTGGAGAGGCACTTGCTGCGATCAGAAGTTGATCGTGGCCTAGGATCTACTCAGGAAGGTTCGCACACAGAGAAGTGGTGTTGGTGGGCCCTTGACCTCAATAGCAGAGTGAATGTAAATGCTTGAGATGATTAAGACATGCAAATACAGCGATATAAATAAGAGTACAGGGAAATATGAATCGACCTAGCTAGCCATGTACTCTAAGGTGTGAGGATCTAGAATCGAGTTCAGAAAAGAGAATGAGAATTGAGTCGAATTGAATTGAATTGAATTGAATGTCCACCTTGGTACAACACGAGGCTATATATAGGCTCGACACAAGGCCCCGTAACCAGGTGTTACGCGAAGGTTCCGCGGGCCGTGTAGCATCCCGAACGGATCCTTACCGAATTTGGTAGAAGGCAATTCGGTGGCAACCGAAAAGCCAGAATTCGGTGCACGCAACCTAGCTCGGTGCTATAACTATAATAAAATATAGGAAAGCACCTAGCCTAGGAAATCAAGCAATTCATGCATGCATATAATTATCCTATGCTAGAAATAGCATGATAAAGTAAAGGCAAGCAAGCATAGCTGGCATAAGCCGTCGTACTCTCACACTAAGGGGTACATTCCCTTATTCAAATACATTCCCAACTGTGCGGCGCGAACAGTTACGAAACTGTTCCCGCCGAAACCATCCGGCGTGCAGCTGCGTGATGCTGTCTGCTCCGACGGTTCAGATGCGTTCCAACCGTGTGACGCTTCGCGTTCATTTGCGATACTGCGTGCTTCTCTTTGCTGCGGTGAGGAGTGCATAGTAATATTCAAGTATTACTATTCGTAACACCCCCCTTCACTCCTGGCCGTAGCTCGACTTGACCTGCTTGATCACGCCGCTGAGTTCGGAGCAGTGCTGATACTGCTGGCGTGGCAGTCGCTTCGTGAAGAAGTCTGCTGCCATGTCACCGGTCGGGCAGTAGGTCAAGTTGACCTTGCCCTTGTCCACCTAATCCTTCACGAAGAAGTACCGCAGCGCAATGTGCTTGGTGCGGTTGACGAAACCAGGTTTGTTCGCGATGCGAATCGCGCTCTGGTTGTCGCAGTGCAGGCGAAAGTTCGTTGAGGCCGGAATTTTTGCTTCCTGCAGCAGTTCCTGAAGGTAGAGACCTTCGCGAACAGCTGCTGTTGCTGCGATAAATTCAGCTTCCGCCGATGACAGGGCAACCAACTCCTGCTTCTGAGAGTTCCAGGAGATGGGGCCGCTGGGCTCGAGGCGGAAGAGGAACCCTGTCCTTGACTGTCGATTGTCAGGGTCAGCGGCGTGATTGGCATCCACGTAGCCGACGAGGCTGAAGGATGGTGGAATAACTAAGCCCGACATTGGGCGTGGAGATGAAGAATTGAAGGGCTCGCTGAAGATCTGAGAGATTCTCAGCCGTTGGTTTGCGTGAGTATTGAGCCAACTGGCTCGCAATGCAGGAGAGGTCGGGCCTGCAGGTAACGGATGCGAAGAGCAGGCATCCCAACTGCTGCTGGTAAGTGTGAAGCCCAACAGGGGACAGGGCTTTGCAGTCAGGCTTGTGGTTGGGTCCTGGAGTGCGGTAAGGGGTGGAGAGTGGTGCAGGCGCAATGTTGAAGCGCTTGCTAAGCTCCTCCGCATACTTCGCCGCTGAGAGATGAATGGCTTCCGGCGAGTAGGTGATGTTGAGTCCGAGAAACTGCTTCACGTCATGATTGCAGGTGATGTCGACGCGCCCTGCGAGGCTTCTCTTAAACTGCTGGAGCAGTTCGTTGCTTGAGCCTGTGTAGAGAAGGTCGTCGACGTAGACCGTGAGGAGGATGTATTCGCCGCGGAAATCGCGGCCATACATTCCAGGATCGTGAGGCAGCTGCTTGAACCCGATTTCAAGCAGTATGTTGTGCGGATACTGCTGCCAGAGTCTCGGTGCCTGTTTGATCCCATAGAGGGACTTGCGTAGCTGACAGACACGTGGGTCTCCTTCGCCGTAAGTGTGTGGCTGTTCCACGTAGATCACGGCGTCCACTAATGCGTACAGGAACGCATTTTTCACATCGATCTGCCTGAGTGGTAGGTGTCGTGCGGCTGCGATGGCGAGGAGAATTCTGACGGACGTGTGACGGCTGACCGGTGCAAATGTCTGGTCAAAATCAATCCCGTGACTTTGATCGTAGCCGCGTACCACCCAGCGTGCTTTGAATCGCTCAATCCTTGCGTCGGCTCCTGTCTTCACTCGGAAGACCCATTTGCCGGAGAGAATCCTTCTCCCCTTTACTGCTGCACGGTCGACGAGCACCCAGGTGTCGCGTGACTCGAGTGCCCGGATTTCCGCATCCATTGCTTCGCGCCACTCCTTGCTGTGTGGTCCAGAAAGAGCTTCGCGCGGATTTCGGGGCTCGACGACACGTGGCGGCTTAGAAGTTGCGGTGTGAAGCCCGAGCAGCTGCAGTCCTGAGATGGTGCTGTCGTGGCGACGTTGCGGGATGATTTCCTGTACGTCGTCGTCATCGCTTTCTGGTTCAGGAGGCGCTGGTGGTGCTGTGCCTCTGCCGCTTCCGCGTGTTCCGCTTCCGCCTGCTGCGCCCATTTCTCCTCCCGTGGAATCGTCGTCGTCATCGTCGTCGCC